ATAGACTTTGTGTTCAAGAAAACCTTTAGGAGCGACCATGAAAACCTCCCAAAGAGACCAGCAAAACTCAGCACAAAATGCGGACAAGGTCAAATAAGGAAACACAAAAAAAATTTAGAAATAAAAAATAGTGTAGCAACCTTTTAAATTTATAACCACTTTTAGGAGACACAGAATTTTTTCTATAGACTTTGTGTTCAAGAAAACCTTTAGGAGCGACCATGAAAACCTTCAAAATAAATAAATAGATTAAAATTCAATGCAAACTTCAGTAAAATCATAATTGTATATTTATTTAAAATAGTTCTATTACTCGTAATTGATATATTTGTTTTGACACATAATTATATCAGTAGGAGTCATTTTTATTGAAGCTAAATTTTATTCATCGATTCGCAACACAAGTGGCTATTTTGCACCAAGAAAATTACACTGAATGAAATTAAAATGGCATACGAAAAATCATATACCTTTGATAACATTTTGAAGTTAATGGAGATAACCCCTAATATGTAAAAGAACGACCTATCTCCCTTAATGATCATTTTACTAAAGAACAGAGAGTGGTCACTCCCGAGAGGTTAGGTGCTTAAATTCTCTTCTCCACCCAAAAGTACACATTTTTCTTAATATGATGCTCTTGTTTGAAAAATGTAAGATTGCCATTTCATTCACATGTTGATCAAATCTGTTATTAATCACTTTAATTTTGTAAATTTAATAAAATACATTTAACATTAGCTAATAGATATGATTATAAATTACAAACTTTAAAAACTGATGAATACAAAAATTTAAATGAATGAAATTAATTTTTGAAAGAAAAAAAAACAATACGGTATTTCATTTACCACAATAAAATTTACATTCAATAGATTAGTTTAAATAAAAGAAATTATAGGAAAACTTTATCATGCTAAAAGAAATTTCTGTTAGAAAGGAAATATTCTTAATTTTCCTACTTCAAATATTTCAAAAGAAAAACTTAATGAAAATTTTATTACACACCTTCACTGGGTATTTCAGATGGTTTAATTTCAATACCATCTTCAGATTCTTCATCATCACTGATCTTCAAATCAAGATCCAGTTCCAACTCAGGTTCTCTTGGTTGGAACGCTGGAGTACCCCAGTCGAAGTCTGAAGAGCTATTTTGATTGGATGTTGATACGGGAGCTCCCCAGTCAAAATCAGCTGATGATTCCTTCTTATTGCTTTCCATACTCTTACCGACTTGCACTTTAGGAGTTGCATCAGAAGCAAATGTACCAGTTGCAATCACATCATCACTGTTTTTAAGTACATTTGCAAAATCAAATACAGCATCATCAGGAGACATGGGCCCATCTGTTAAGACTCGGTTTGGCAGACGAGACAAAACTTCAAGAGCTAAAGCAGGGCAACCAGCTCGGAAGTGAGCATGAGCAGTTGTAAAAAACAGCCTACGTTCCAAAGGTGTTATAGTGTCTTCAAATGGTAGCTGAAAATTTTTACAATTACTCCAACAAATTAGAAGAAAAACATTTTTAAAAAAATATATAAAAAAAACATACAAATACTCTTAACACGTTGAATGCCACGCTAATTTTACATGGCTTGCCTGTCTGGCCAAAATGATTTTCTCAGCATGTATGGCATTCATTTCTTCAAACCATTTCAGTAACGATAACAATATAAAAAAATTAAAAGCATTAAAAATTTACTCAAATTATGTGTGTCTAATAATCTTGGCTCAGTCGATTAACAGTGATCTCCGTGGTACTACGAACTAACTCAGTGCCGATCACCGGTGATCCCGTGGCATTCAACGTTTTAAAAGTATAAGCTTATTATAAAAACTTTATTATGGTTAAAAAAAAAATTTTAATCACTGACATTGAAGAAGTATACATAAGCTGAGTCAATCTAAGTATTATAAAAAAATTTCTAAAAACAATGTATAACATTTATTTCCTCCATTAATGAATATGACTTTTTTTTAGAATCAATTTTGTCAAAATTGTTTTGACTTTTCTCTTTTTTTATCAAAAATTCAAATTTTTCCAATACTTTAACACAGTCAGAGATAATTAATGCAAAAATTAAACTTATTCAAATATTTAGCACAATTTTCAAACACTAAAGATGAAGTTATACAAATAAAATTATGTTGTTTAAACTTAATTTGAATTTTACGCACTGATACTTTAACTTTGCCCAAGAGTAGAGAAAGCAAATGCTTATACTTAGGCAAAATAAGAAATCAGAAGGAAAAAAAGTTTGACTTGTAGATGATTTATCTTTAAATGTCAACAACATTTCATTTAAAAAAAATTATTTTTTACTTTTCAAAGGTGAAAATGGAAAAATCTTTTCCTCTTTGCTTTATCTTTAATTTGCTCTCAATTTTTTCTGTTTTAAATCAGAAGTGAAAAATAATCTGCCAATTTCGTGATAATCTGCAGCACCCGCTGCCGTGTTGGAAAGTTTCGGCTACCGGAGATTAAACTACATGCTTGAAGGGAACATTGATAAGATTAATTTAAAATAAACATAACATTCACTACACTGCAAAATTAAAACAAAGTTAATTTTTTATTATAATTCTTTTAAGTTTAAACTGAGCTATAAAGCAGCACTTCTTAATTAAAATTATTCTTTTTAAAATTATATTTCTTTGCATATAAACAGCCTTATAGTCTTACAAAACTTCTCTGGTATATTTTTGCTCCCAAACAATCACAAATCAGATAAAATAGGGGGAAAAAATAGATTTAAATCTTGAAGTGTGTCTCAAAGTAAACAAATGTTTTGTTTGCTGTTCAATAAAGACATTTGTAATATCTGTAAGCTACACCAAATTATTATTGCCAATCTGACAGTATGGCTTGCATAAATTGATTGCTAAACAAATTAAAAAATATTCAGCAATTGGTTGACTTTGCACAAATGAAAAAAAAAAGATAAATGAAATTGGATAGCCACTCTTCTAACAATTCATTATAAGTCTGTCACATATTAAAATGACTCAGCTTACACCATTCCTTGGAAAACTTATAAAGCAAAAAACATAATTTTTTTAAATAAGAAATAATTGTTTTTTATTTGTACAAGACATTATAACAATATTTTTAGAAAGAAAAACACATATTGCAATGTTTAAAGTTAATGTAACAACAGGTAGGTAGTGTTATGCTTGCATGTTTTTTAGACTTAAAATAATATGTGGTAATCAAGAACATTTTTTCCTTGAGCGGACTATTAACGTTTACATTTTAGAGAAACTTCTCCACCTCTGACATATGCAAGCGATGAACACCAGTTCGATAACTAAAGTGTGACGCAGCGACGTGTTAGACCAATCAACAACGTTTTGTAGGTGGTTTCATCTACCGTGTGTAAAGAAGATTTTTTCCCCTTGGCAATCCGAAGCGAGACCTGAGAGAAGAGACGCAGAAGGTATGATGCAGTGAATCCACCCGTGAATTCAGATGTCGCCTAAATGATAAGTTTTTACTTAATTTTTTTTTCTTTATTATTATTTAGTTAATTAAAAAAATTCATAATAACTTTCTTAATTGATCCGATATGCAATGAGAACAAGATAAGTAATTAGTTTGTTTGTTTTTCTTCACACGCACCTTTTCAATTCTCTCCAGGTGTTATTTAACTATTTTGCGTTTATATATCTATTTTGTGTTTCAATGTGTTGACCTACTAATTTACCATCTAGTTGTTGTTTAGTCAAAAGTGAAATATTAATGTATTACATACGATTTATGTATAAAGTTGTGTTAGTTTTGACTATTACCGAATAAAAAGGTAATGTTGAAAAACACGTGGTGATTGATTGTCAATATTATAATAATCTAATTAGCTAAAATATATATTTTTCAAAAAATTTAAACTAAATTTTGACACAACGCAATTCAAATGATTTTTAGCCTAAATGAATTTTAATCAAATTAACCTGGATAATAATTAATAATTACTATTTATTTATTAATAATTATACTAATACTATAACAAAATTTGTAGTCATAACTGGAATCTAAGATATAACATTAGGTAGGTACTTTATTTACGTTGCACTAGAGCTGCACAACGGGCTATTGGCGACTGTCTAGGAAACATCCCTGAGGATGATCCATAGACATGCCATCACAATTTTTATCCTTGGCAGAGGAGATGGCTCCCCTGCTTTGTAACAACTGACTAACAGCAATAATTTTTTTAGCCAAAAAATTACATTTTACAATATTCAACATATATTAAATAGACTCATTTTTGAAAAGTTGCCTATTGGACAAGAATTCAATAACATTTGTAAGCTTAATATTCAGATAGGTAATATTTACATCTTCAACATCCAAGCTTTCACTTTGAGAACCTAATTTTCCAGCTGCTTTGCTTTTCTTTATTTCAAACAAGTTTTGAGCTCGTTGTCGGCGAACAACCAAAGGATGAGTACGAAGGAACAAGTAAAAGTTAAAGACTCCTGGATTAGCTATGAGTAAAAATAAAATAACATTTATAAATCAAAAATAGAGTTTATCAATATAACTTTAATCGTCATTATAAGTAATTAAACAAATGACCACCAGAATTACGATAAATTTTCTTTTTAAATATTACAAATTGTATGTTTACATAAGTTAACTGAAATTTGATTGCTCAATATACATTTATATTTAAGATAGCCTGTGGTTTTTATATTGTAAGGATTTAAGCAAAAATCGGTAACTAGTACAAGTTTGGATATAATCAAATAACCAATGAAGTTTTGTTTTATTTGATTACATAAGTTAAATTACAACATTTGACATTACCAAAGGCTGCTTATAAATATAAACCTAAAAATAGTCTGATTTGTTGTATCAATTTTTCCATTTATTATTGATAACTTTTAGAATAATGTTTCTAAAAATGCAATCATAAAATATCTGTAAAAAGTTTTAGAACTGAAACAATAAAAAAAAAATTGCATTGTTTTTTACTTTAAACAAAAAACATATGTCAAATTATCTTATGACTCTCAAGAACAGATAGAATGAACAACTATTTTCCACTTTTAAAACATGAATCAGTGAATAATAAATACAATTTTAATAGCAAAAGAATAGTAAAAAAGGAGCAGGAACATACTAATAAATAAAGAATAATTAAGCAAATTGAGCTTAATTTCTTTAATATATAAATTTTTTTTTTTACATATAGACTCTTAATAACAATTTGTTTTTATAACTAGTTTTGTTATAAAAACTGTTAACAAAAGAAAATTATTTCTTTCACCACTAAAAAAAAAATTAAACCTAACATAAGATATTATGATAGCACTCAAATAAATAAAATAAAACCAAACAATATAATTGATAGCCTTGTAGAACTGTTATGCATAATATCATATAACATTTTTAAGAGAAAAATGGGAATCATATGAAACTTTGACTTAGAGATTGGGCAGCTTCAAAGAGCAGGGCACATCGATCAGTGGTCTATTGTACCTAAACCCTAAATCATGATTGATGAAAAAGCTTTATAGCTGAAACAAAGTTTAGCACACACCTGACAGAAATAATCTTGTAATTCGCAGGTCTTAATGCAATGTTGCCCTAAATGCTCAAATCTTTGAGCAGAATAGACCTCACAATCACAAAGTATATGTCGCGAAGTCTCATCCTCAAGAGGACAACCTGGCCAAAGTTAATCAGATTCAATAATAATAATGTAAGGTGTCTCCTGAGGGTGCAGTGTCCTGTGAGAAGACCATTGATCTTCCTCTAACAGTTCCTGCTAACCTTAAGAAGCTCTTTTTGACGAAAACTAGGGCAGTTACAATTTAGCTCTTAAGCTTGTCTCTGACCATCGCAGTTGTGTCATTGATCATGGGTAATTTTGCCATAGAGCCTGAATTTAGATGCGCTGAAAGATGTGGGAGAAATTCCCAAAGCTAGTTCAGGGCCCCAGAAAATCACACTGGAGCCAGCCCGTGCTACTTCGTCAGCCAGCTCAAGACCAGGAATACCCATACGTCCAAGCACCCAATGCGTAGCCAAATTTTTTAACAAAAAATAAGCACTTTTCAAGCACTAAAAAATATTTTTAAGCAGCATATACACTAACAAAATTCAAAATAATTTTCAAAGACTTTACATGATAAAATAACTAGTTTTTGACAAGGAACTCTTTTCTTGATTATATTAGACATTAAAAATGATCAAGAGATTTTTCAGTTCGATTTCAGAGGCTGGAAAATGAAGCTTGAAATTGAGAATATTTTCTAAAATGCTGCAGAGTTGCACATGAGAGTGCAATAATCTCACCGAACCCAGCTCACACGCGGACTCGTAAGTATTTCATCAAACCTGTAAAATGATTGGCGTTTTTATACGCTGTGGACCGACGGTACGCTGAAATAGATTGTGGTTGAATTAATTGTGAAAACATTGAATAGAACAATGCGAAAAGCACGCCTTTGCATTACATGGCAAAAATTGAGAGGGTAAAGAAAAAAATCTCATTTTCGAAAAGGGAAAATTAAACACTTTTAAAAAACACCCAATGAAAAAAAGCACCTTTAAGGGCTTTTAAAAACAAAAATAAGCACCTTTAAACACTTTTTAAAAACACTATGCACCATGCAATGTAGGTTTACCTTGTTACAAGTAGAAAGGTCACAGAGGACCAAGAGGCACTCCCACACTAGTGAAGAAGTGAATTTACACCTTATTAGTGATAGAAGAGCAACCTATATGAAGCTTACCAGACATACGATCACCAGAATTCTCCATTTCTGCAGCTTTTGGATGAGAATACCCAACATCAGTTTGTAATAAAGTTGTTAAGGAGCCACAATAGTCCTGAAGAATCCAACGAGCCATACATCTAATAAATGGATCTGGGTATGCTTTGGATGGAATATAGTTTGTACCATCAGATTCACAACCTAACACCTCTGTAAATAGTAATTTCTTTAGTGATGGAGTGACTGTATCAATTTCTCCCTCATATAAGCGAATAACCACCATAGCAAGTTGAAGATCATTTAAATTGTTTAATATTATCTGAAAATAATAAAAGAGAAATTATTCCAATAAAAATAATAATAAAAATTTATAAAATTCATATCAATTAACATTTTTATGAATATATAAAAATAAAATCAGGATTATTATATTTATTAACACAAATCATATATTGTATAGATTATTATAATATAAATTATTAATATATAAATTATATATATTACTTATATGTAAATTATTATACCGTAATTTCGCGCGTATAGTCCGCGGACTATCTGTGTTTAAAANAGATTGTTATATTGTACATTTATTAATATAAAAATACAATCTGGAATCATAATGAAATAATGAAAAATAAATTCAGTCTTAAATTGTTTCAAATTATTTGATATTAGATTGTGAATAACATGTGCAGATGCAGGACCAAAGACAAGATTACAGGTTCTCATGCATCTGCACAAGTGGAGCCCTTTTTTATTACCCTAAAAACGTAAAAATAAAAAACATTAAAAAGAGTGACTTTAGAATGAGTTTTTTAGCAATATGCTGTAAAATAAAAGCTAAGGAAATACAATTTTAAAAGAGAAGCTTAAATTAATGAAATAAAAATTTTAAAAGGATTATTCATACAAAAAGTAAACATAATTTTATAAATATGCAATATTAATAAAATATACATATTTTTTTGTATGTTCTCGCTAATATTGCTTCTTAATCAAATCCAACATCAGTATAATCTTTAAATAATATTTCATCTGCAACTTTTCTTATACTTTTGCTGATATGTTAGGTGAAAACGATCTGTTTAAGATAAAGATCATTCATTTTAAGGAGAGCTTGTTGGTTTTAAGAAAGTAAAAGAATATAAATTATATGTTTACATTTTGCTAAGTAGAAAAGATCAATAGCATTTCTATGATTTTTATTAATATTATAGATTTTTCTAAAAAGAAAAATTATATTTAATTAATATTCAAGATTAATATTTGAATTGCTTTATTTTATTAATCATGTCCATATTCTTATGCAACAGTACATCCTCTGCCCTTGTTGAAGGCTGAGCAAATATATTTGAATATCAAGATAAAATTTTAAAATAGAATAAAATAATAATTCACAACAGTATTTAGTTTAAAAATAATCTTTGCATGCCACTTCTTAATTGTAGCTTAGTACACTATTTTTTGCATTAATTTTAACACTGTTTAACCAAATAAAATTACATAAAAATAACATTTTTCAGTCAAGAAAGTAGACTACCTCAACAGCAACTTTTAAGTCTCCCCCAAGAAGGAAAAAGGCAGCAGCGTGTTTAAATCGTTGTTTTCCCATGAGGACATAAGCATTCTTTTGAGCAGATTTTTTCCATTTGTCTTGAGTAAAATTATTTTGAAAAAATGCTGTCATTTTATTATCTTGCACGGACCTGTAAATAATAATAGACAATTCAATCATTTGCTTTAAAAAGCTAAAGATGATAAAATTTAAACAGATTTCTCAGTTTATTTATTAATTTGAATAAAGAGCAAAGTCTAATAAAAAGAATTATTAAGATCAATCACTTAAATAAATAAAACCTACAAAGCTTTGTTATAACCGTCAAATATATTAATTTAAGTGCACCACATTTTAAATAATAAGCATTCCGGAAAAGTGTAGGGGTTATAATTGTAATAATATAATAATGTAGGGGTTATTGTTGTGGGACCTTTGTAAAATTTAATGACACAATAATTCACAATTACTTACATAATGAATATAACATTAAACTAGACTAATAGAATTGAAAGATAAGAGATAGATAAATATTGTTCGATTGCATCATACCTAAATAAGCCCCAAAGAAGAGTTTTCTTTTTCATAGCTAAATAATAAAGAGCTGCATCCATCGGGTCATTTTTAGTTTGAAATGCAGCCTTAGCTACCTGTAAAATTAATTTTCACTAATTTAAGTATAAAGCTATATTGAAAAAGTATAGTTAATAAGAAATAATAGCTTTATATTAAGTTGCTAGTCATGAATATCAATCAGTATTTTAAAAGTAAAAATTACTAAAAGATAATTTACTATAATCAAATGAAATAAGTAAGAAAAAAAACAATATAAAAAAATTTGAATAAAACTACAAGACCTCATAAATGTTGCTATAGAATAAAGAAATAGCATTATCACAACAAAGTTATTTTATCGCATTCTGTAAAAAAACAAACTAAATAACATGCAAACAATACAAAATAAATTAGTCATAGAACAGCAAAAATGGTAAGTGTAACAGTTCATGAATGTTGCTATAGTGCAAGGAAATTGCATTATAATAACAAATTAAATATATTCGGTAAGATAGCAATACAACATGGAAAGGATATCAAATAAATAAATTATAGAACATGAATAGTAAAAATTGCAATAGTAACAATTTGATTTTGTTGTCATAGTGCAAGGAAATAGCAGTATCACAGCAAAGCTAATTACTTTCAGTAGGATAGAAAAATAAGTAACACAGAAAGAATACCAAGAAATTTATTAATAAATAAGTTCTAGAACAAGAACAGCTAAATAAGGTAGTAGTAATTTATAAATGCAGCTATAACATACCGAAATACACATTTAAAGAATACAAAAATGCATTTCGACATAAAGAATTACACACACCTTCTCCATTAGCCGCCTGAGTACAGCATTACTCCTTACCCACCAGCCAATTCCGAGTTCCCTTAATTCACTCCATTTGAGATTTCCTTTTTGTACACACGGAATGAGTTGTAGTAGTTCTTCTTGAGTTTCAGAATGGAATGCCCATACCAAACTATGGCTTCCCAAGCCTTGATTTTGAAGTTGAGCTCGTTGGCCAAGAGGAAGACAACGAAGCAAATAAATAAAATGTCTCATTGCTAAAAGGAATCTCAATCCACAATCATCCAAAGAATCTTCAAAAACAAAAGAACTATTAAGTATCTCAGTTGGTTTGAAAGTTTATACAACTGAAATTTAAAAACTTGCGACAACATATGAAGTATGAACACAATAATGTAATAATAATAATTGTACTAATCTAGTAATAAGAGGAGTCGATATGAGAAGAGGCTCAAGAAGAAACAATGCAAGGATCTAACATTTAAAAAATTTTATTTTTATAACCGTCGGTGAACAGTCGACCCAATTTTGGGTTTACGATTACTAATGCTCAACTCCATAGCCTTTTAATCCTGAACCCAATCCAGAAGACAAGAGAACTCCTGGATCAAGTATTGGGAGAAATTTGCTTTCTTGGAGAATGTTTTGATGGAACTAACCCGTCTTTGCGTTACATGGAAAGGAAGACTAAGAAAACCTCCCACAGTTAGCCTAACAGCAAGAGGACTCTAACATCCGTCTACCACTGAGGATATTTCTTGTCAGCTCTGTGGTTGGTGCAAGCCAGATTCAGAATTCGTATCAACCAGCCATTCCAGGGATTCGAACCCGGTTCACCTGAATGGAAGGCGAACGCTATATCCCCTGAACCATCGCGGCTCAAGGATCTAACATGCAAGGATCTAACATCCTGGATTACCTTACCACTGATACAATGTGCATTTCATCTAGCAATGAAGATCATGTTCATTTTGTAGTGTTAAATCGTCTTGAGTGAATTGAATCAGAAATGAGGGCTTTGCGTATAAATGAGCTTCAAAATGTAGAACGTAATACATTATGTTTATCTTTGCATCTTTTTCATTTCTTTCTTAATTTAGTTCCCAATTTAATGTTTTTTCAAGATAATTTTCTGTGGGACTTTTGCAATTGCTGTGCATTTTCTCATTGTAAAATTAATTTATAAATGGAAGGAAAAATAACATTATGTATCGAAAAGAATTTCCTTGTGATTATTTTATGCACTTTTTTATTTCAAGCAATACAATTTAATAGTAATATTTTATTTGCAATAATAATTTTCTTACCACAAATTTTTTCAAAAACTTCTTTTAGTAAATGTAAGTAAATTTTATGTAAGAAATGTATTACCTAACATAAGTAAGTAATATAATATATTAGTTAAGTTTTAGTACCATTTGATAGTAAATTTCCTTTTAATACATGTAAGTTTTGATAGAAATTCAGTATTATTTTTAAACAGATAAATCTTGAGACGATTTCCTTTTCAAATAAATAAATAAAAAAGAGCTTACATTTTTTGAGGGGAAGGGGAAATTCGAACATTAGTTACTTCTAATTTATTATTTTAAATTTAAAAAAAATGAGCAATGTTACAAAAACACTTATTTTTTCAATTAATTTAAAACTTCATTTTACTTAAGCGTGCAATTATTTTTATTTGATTTTTTTTACCTAACTTTTTAAACTTTCGCAGAAAATTATTCAATGCATGTATGTAAAATATTTTGATAGGATTTTATTATTTTGAAACAAATAAATCTTAAATCATTTTATTTAAAAAAAATAATAAATTAAAACAAATGTTACATTTATTCTTAATTCAGTTTTAAATCAATCCACCTATATTATTTTAATTTTAAAAATTAAGCAATGCTATTGATCCAATAAAAACAGCATTTTCTTACATAATTAATAATTTTCTTTATTTACAAATTTTTTATTTTAGATAGATTTTAAATAGTGTGGTTTGGATTCAAAAGATACAAGAATTGAATGTATGTTATATTGTTATACATCGCTATATTGCAATGTCTACCAGACAATATATCTTGATATAAAATTTTTTAAACCTTCTAGTCCTAACCAGTGGTAATATATTTTTCACTTGATGGTAAGAAAAACAGTTTAATATATTTGTGTCAAACATTGTCCCGTTTTAACATATTTGTTCTAGTTTGTGATAAAAATGGAAGTAAAAAAATTCAAGATTAAAAAAAGCATGACAATTCCCAAAATTTTCCCATTCAAGTTAAAAGATCTTAAAAATATTTCATGTCTAGTAAAAACAAAAGTTTAGCAAAAATAAAGTTAAAAGAATATTTTAATAAACTTACGTGTTATATCTAGAGCTGTATAAGATATTAAACAAAATATAAAATTATAAACGTATTCAATTTTAAATATTTATACATGAAATAAAAAATAAATGAAAATAAAAAGACACATAAACTAAATTTTGCATATTGTTACCTCTATTCAGACTAAGAAAATAACATTTAAGCATTAGCAACAAAATTATTAAATAAGATTACAAGAATATTAGCTACATACCAGTAGTAACACAAACATTAAGGCCTTCAAGATTAGTTTTAGGTGAGTCTTTAGCAACAACTGAAATCAAACAAAATTTTGAGAAAATGTTCAAGAAAAAACAAAATGTAAAAATTAAAGTTAGAACTTAACATTTCAGAAACTTAAGTATAAAGAAATTAGTATGATAAAAAAATATTTTCATGAATAAGTATTATAATGACAGCTAAGCTATGCTAGTGCTTTTATTGAGCTAATAAAAAAAATTTTATTCTAAGTTTGATTTGCGATTTTATTTGGTCTAATAATTAAAAAATGACTTCAAAAGTTTCAAAATAAATTTTAGTAATTAACTAATGGGAACCATTTCTAAAGCTTTGATAAACAATACAATAGTAAAAAATGTAAACTAAAAATAACAATTTAAAAAAATCTCTCAAATTTATAAAAATTATAATTTATAAAAAATGAAAATGAACATCTTTAACTATATACTGCTACATACTAGGCATGATACTGTATAAAACAAATTATAAGCAAAATACGTGAAAAGAAAATATATTAACATATTTCTGTTTAAGCATTGCTTTATAAAATGAAAAGTATCAAAAATACCATTTTTATTACAACATATATACATAATAAAAATTTACAGCATGTTTTTTAAACATTTTAGAAAAGAATTGATACATCACATGTATCACTTACAGGTCAGCATATCAGAAAATATAAAATTATCTATAAATTTTAAAGATTTGAAAAAATTTTCAAATTACCTTTGAGCAATTTATTGTTAGTAACAAATTTTTAATTATATAAGATTAAATCACTACATAAAAATAAAACTGTTAATGTAAATATGGAAGACTGAAACAGCAAAGAAGGCTATGAGAATCTCAGTTTAATTAGCAAAATTTGTAACTTTTCAAAATTTAATCAGCAAGTGATTCCTTAACATCCACATTGGAAAATTCTAGAAGATAGCACTTGATCGCAATCTTTATCAATCATGGATTCAAAATAGATTTCGAAGATTTTTTAATACACTTTGATAAGTGCATGATATAAAAGCTTTGGCAGCTAGGTTATTTCTCAATATTCCATCTAAAAAAATCAAAGCGAATAAGCGAAATTTTTCTGCTCAAAACAGTATTTCTTAATTTAATAACAAGAATATAATCTGAAGAAGGACAAAAAAGGAAATAAGCCTTAAAGTACACACTGAATTGTAAAGGGTTTAAGTAGAAATGTTTTGAGCCAACATTCCAAAAGCAATGATCGATCACTTATAACTTTTATCAGAATAAATATGAATATTTACCTGGTTCAACGCCAAATCTATCGGTTAGGGCTGTGTTAAATGATGCAACAGTATCTGCCAGTGCTAATAGGTGCATTTGATCTAAGCTGGAAAGGCCCGGTAGGTGTGAATGCGTCAAGAATCTAGTAAGCAAAGCAGCCTGAAAATATAAAAATAAATTTAGATTTAATATAGTCAATCTCTATCTCACTTATATGTACATAGCTGCCAACATGGATGGGAAAAAATCCAGTAGATTTTACAAATTAATATAAATTTCGTGATAAATGTTGCAAAATGTACTAAATATGTTACACATGGGGAATTTTAGGGATTTTTATAGTCATCAAAATAGAAAAACTGCAATATTTTCTTGTCATGATTGACATTAAATGAACTTGAAATGTTACACATTATGTTTATTCATAATTTTGAATAGTAATACACATTTAATTCAAAGATAGTTAAAAGACTTTTAATTAATTAAAAAATGTAGTTCTGAGTAAAAATAAACTCTACATTTCAGAATAAAAAAGTTTTAACTGATTTTCATAAGTGCGACTTGCTTAATTATGTATTAACAACACTTATTTAAATATTCAAGTAAGGAATAATCGGTACAAAAATTATATTTCAATAGGGATTTCCTTAGAAAATTTAATCAAATTAAGGGAATTTTTAAAAATGTAAAAAACCAGGAAAATTTTTATTAAATCAGTAGATCAGAAAGAACTGGCAAAATCCAGTAGTCCATTAGAAAGTCCAGTAAAGTTGGCAGCTATGCTTATACCATAAATTATAATTAGAAATTGCAATCAATGCCTACTATAGCATTAATTATAACAATGATCTTCACATTAAAATCATATACAATAAGACCAAACAGGTTTTCTCAGAAGTTTTCAACCAGAAAAAAAACTATCTTGCAAATACTTTTACCAGTAATACTTTTTTTCCTTATATCATACATTCAAAGACAAAATAATGGCCATTACCAGCAATTAACTAAATCAATATCACTACTTTTAAAAAATAATCTGCAAAACATGCAGAGCAAATTATAATAAATGATACTTTTTAGAAAAAAGTAAAAGTGATTAATGTTATTAATGATTTTATTACAAAAGGGAGATAAAGTATAAGTATAGTCAATAATAATTCTTTTTAACTGAATGAATATAATTTAATGAAAGATAGAATTTTTTTTTTGTTGATAAATATGTAGTTTTGCAATAATGCTATTCAACAAATGCATTCTTTTGAAAACGTACAACAATAAGCTAGGCTTTAAAACAAAATCAAAGATACAAGAACATACTATAAAAATAATAAATAATACATTCAAAATTAATAAAAATTATTTAAAACATTTACAACTGAAAAAACTTACCTGATTTGGACTGAAATTTGTCAAATTAATTTTTTTATCATTAACACTAAATGAAGGTCTTTCTCTTTTAGTATCACTTGAAACCGATCTGGTATGAAGCAAATCGTCCAGATTTTCTTCTACTGTGGCAGAAAGGTCAAATAAGCCACTATAATCCTAAAAAGTACAAATAATATAATGAAAGTATTTTCAAATAAACTATTTCACAAAATATTACAAGTTTTATTCATCACTTAATATCTGCATGGTAATTTTTTTTTAAGGTTTCCTTCCTTATTTATATCACCATTAATTTAACTGCTTACTTTAAAAATATTTAGAAATTTTATGACCTAGTCATATCAGACTTAATATATATATCAGCCTAATTAAATATTGTTTTAATGAGCTATAATTGAAGGTGAGCACTACAGAATTAGTATTAGTTTATATATTATTATTAGTATTAGTTGAAATAGTACAGAATTAACAAGGCACTACTGATTTGTTAGTTATCATGGTTTGGCTCGAAACTGGATGTGCGTAAGGTAATATACTGGATAATTCAAAGTTTATAATTAATGAGGTTGCATTTTAATTATAAAATTTTAGTATTAATTTTAGACAAATTATTAACATTTATTGAAAAAATAATTTTTAAAAAAAATCTTTTTATAGATTAATTCTGGATTTGCACTTGGTAAAAATATAAATTTAGTTCAGCACACTTTTTTATGGATATAATCGAGTGAACTGATGACAAGATTATATATTTTCCTTATTTTGTTAATAATTTTTCATCCCTTCAAAAAACTTATTTTGTCCATGTCTTCTTAGTATTTTTAACTAATTTTAAGGGGAGAACATATGTTTGAAACAATCAAACTTAAATTTACAGTTGAAATTTATATTGCCAAAAAAGAACAACTGAAAATTGGTATTCAAAATGATTAATTAAAAACTCAAATATTGGATAATAATTCATAAATATATATATTACTTTTTTAAAGCATTGCTTTAAATACTTATAATTAATACTGGAGAGAAATAACAAGAATTCAATGATTTATAAATACTAAATTATGCATTAACTAAATGCAACTAATATAAAACTAAAACTGTAGAAATATAAATGTAAAAAAATTACTTGATCATTTTCACCCTCATTGTCAGTAGAAGCGACTTGTGAATGAGCTGCTTCCTTATCTGAATCAATAAGAATAAATAGCGGCAAAGGTGGAATAGACTGAATTTCAACATAATCTAAAGTCACTTCTTCAGGGAACATTGACACTGAGCTGCGCTCATTAGGACTGTGAGGCAGAGGAGACGTACTAGCAGCGAGAGACATAGCTCGAGTGCGAGACCACGATCTACCTTCTTCACCATCTTCTTCATTTCCTACAGACTCTTGCATCTGTATATAAGATTTCTGTAAAAATATATCTCAATTAAAACATAATTTAAAATCCTGGAAACATTAAAAAGCAATCCAGTACAATAGATTACCTTGATATTTTCTGAACCAGACAGACATCTAACAAGATGGCTCAATATGGCTTTAACGCGCCGGAGTTTTCCAAAACCTAATAATTCCATTAGCTGCTTTGGGTGATATTGAGGTAGAACTGGACATGCCAATCTGCTAGCTTCAAATAGTCCAAAGTCTGGCATAGGTCCAATACTTCCAACACTTTCCCTAAAAATTAAATTTTTTTTATTTATTTCCAATGGCAGACATGAAAGAGAAATTTGTAGCCAAGAACAATATAAAGAAAGAACAAAAAACGGAAACAAGAGCTACAAAAATAAAGAGTTTATAGGTCTGTAATAATGCATTTCGCCCGCCAATATCGTTCCCACAAGGGCTCAGGAGGAAGTGCAGGGCAGCGTCTTAGATGGTTAGTGTCCATTTCTTCTTGCAGGTTAAAAATTAAAAAATAAATATATACATTTTAAATTTAAAATTTGATTATATTAGAACATTATACACATTAAAGATTTGATTATAATTTTATACATAGACATAATTAGATATCAGCAAACTTCTTGCTTGTTTCTAACTAAAATAAAAATATAAATAACACTTCATGATATTAAACATTAATTTCATACTTACTCAAGACCATTAACACAAAAGTAATTAATTCAGCAGTCACAAGCACTCAGAAAAAATTCCTTGATTCTTCCAGATTAATTTTATTGAACTTCTATGATTTTTTTCCCTTTTAACTAAACATAAATTTTATTCATATACCTTATTTTTATACATAAAATATATTACAAAACACATATAATTGCTATTAAGAGTTCTTTCTTTTTTTTTTTAAAAAAAAACCCTAATTTTTTGGAAGAATATTAGAATTTTAGGTTTCTTAAACTCAAATTAATTCCTTGACTTTTTGAGCATTTTAATTAAACTCCCCGACATTTCCTTGATTTTCATAAATTGACATAATTCAGTGACTTTTCCCTGGTCTATGGCCACCCCTTTAATAGGTTTTTCTCCCAAGAGTTGTAATGAAACTTTCAAAATTATTTATGAAACAGCTGCTAACTCACCAAAGACCAAAGAATTTTTTTTTAAAAGCTGAAATAATACTTAAAACTTTAAAATTTTATATAAAATTGTCCTTTTAGAGAAAGAAATATTACCTTTGTTGTTTATTAGTGGCCTGTTCAGATTTCTTTCTTTTGGTTTCAGCTGCTGTACTCAAAACAGAGCTAGAAGTTGATCGAGAAAGGGTACCAGATGCCGTTGGTATCCTCAATTGGGATGATTCTTGTGCTCTGGCGAGAAGCTCCTCTTCAGTAAGTTTGCGATCATCAACTAAAGGCTCATCTTTCTCAGGAGCAGTTTTTTGCCCAGCAGCTAAAAAAAAAGTGCTTTTAGAGAAGAATAATGAATCCACTTACAGAATGCATTAGCCAGCACTAACAAACATAATAAAAAGCCACACATAAAAAATTAAGTAAAAAAAAAATCTCATAAATTTATGTTAGAATAAGACAATTTAAATACCATATAAATAATGCAAATCATACAAAAACTTAAAAATTAGAATTTGGAAATTAGCAATTTACTTTCAGTACATAAAAATATTAATGATTAAAACAAAATAAGCCAAAAATTTTTATCATCTGTCACAAGCAAAATATCAAAAATAACAATTCCCAATATAAGTAAAAAAGAGTGAAAGATATCTCTGTTAAAATTACTCACACAAAAAATAAACTTTTCATAATCAATAAAGCAATATTTTTTTCTATCCATTTACATAATGTGCACATGGTATTTTACAAGCTAGAAATCACCACAAAAATACATTCAAGAGTTTTTTTATTTTTTATAATGAGATAAAAATGTAAAAACTTTTATTTTCACATTAATATTTTTTACCACCCAGTAGCACTTTCTGATATAGGAAAGAAGTTGAAATTATATAATCAGATTGTTATTTAACAAATTTAGTTATATTATTAAATTTATTAAGTACTGCAGAGATATTATAAATATGTTTTAGTATGGAACATTAGCAGATGAATTAAATCATCATGAATGTGTGAGAATTAATGAATGTCTGCAAAAAATTCGTACACAAGAAATAGCAAAAACAATTGCTGCAGTAATTATAACTGTAATCAGTCTAAAGCAATAATTTAAGAACAAACACTCTAGCAATATGTTTTTATAATACCATTCAGGTATGAATTATTAAGTATTACAACACACTGTCAAGACTTAATAAAAAAATTATAATTTGGTCTATTACCATTCTGTTTATAGAAGCGGAGTGTGTCTTAAAAATATCGAGAAAATGAAACTTAATAGCTGACAATTTAAAAGATTTGAACATAGATTTTCTACTTACAAATACCTTATATAAGTTGAGAATATTTAAGAAATTTTAAGAAGCTAAAGAAAGGAATTGACATAACATATTTACAAACTTTGAAAAATTTTAGGAGGATATTTGCATAAGAAATACTTCTTCTTCTGTCGAGCATTAGTGATAATCAGTAAATATCATGAGATGTACATACAGAACACATAAATATATAAAATAGTTCAAAACTGAATCCTAACTATAAAAATTTAAAAAGAAACACATAAAAAGAACAATTAGAAAGAAATATTATTTTTTAATCTTCTAATTATAAATTCAAAAGGTCCATGCTTCTTTTACCCATTATGCAATCGTTACTATAAGAGTACATTTGTACACAAGAGTATGTAAGAACATTTTTATTTCCAAGAGTAACATGCTTTATTTTGGCTTATGGTCGAGTCTAGAATTTTGGGTGAATTTCCAAATAAAAAGCGTACTCTTCAGTTTATACACGAACGGGCTTAAATTCAGAATTATACAGTTGATTTCTGTTATTTGCAATACTCAATTGCAACACTAATTTTCATAATTAAATACATATTATAAATAATTATGTATAGATGCATATATATATATAATTAGCTTTACGTTTATTCAATACTCAATAAATATTTTATTTTATAACTGTCACTAAAAAGTCAAACCAATTTTGAGTTTATGACTACTAATATTCAGCTCTGTGGCCTTGTAATTTTGAACCAAATCCAGAAGACAAGGGAACTCCTGGATCAAATATTGGGAAACATTCGCCTTCGGTGAGGGCTTTTTGATGGAACTAATCTGCGTTTGCGTTACATGGAGAGGAAAACCATGAAAACCTCACACGGTTAGCATGGAGCCAAAGGGGCTCTGTGGACCACTGAGGATATTTTACCTCCTTAATGCGGTCGGTGCAAGCTGGGTGCAGAATTCAAATCAACCAGCCATCGCTGGGACTCACCTCATTGAGAGACAAGCGCTCTATCCCTTGAACCAATACGTCTCCTCAGTATACAGGTAATTATGGTGATTAGCGCATTAAACTTATTCTTTATCTTTTAACTCAATGATATAAAATAAATTATTTGGCTGTTATTACCTTCAGCTGGAACTCGCCATTGAGAATATATGTGCATTTCACTATCCATTCCTACAACTAAAATACCATGACGAACCCAAGATAGTTGCATTGGTATTGGAAGTAAAGAATCAGCTGTTTTTAATGGTGTGCTTCTAATTCGCATCCACCTTATTTCATCATTACAAGACAGAGGCAAAACCATTGATGAGGCTTGCTTTAACAGTGGACGACTTGCAGACTTAGATGCTTTCATTGCTTGCACATTAGCTTGTGCAATATCATTCGATACAGGAGCAAATAGTAGAATCTACAACAACAAAAAAGAAGAAAAAAAAGAAAGAAAAAAAATTTAAAATTGAAATATAAAATATGCAAATATCAAAATAATGTTTTCAGCTTGCTACATCAATCACCATATTAAATAACTTTAAAGACTTTTAATTTGATTTTTTAAATCATTGCTAAAAGTCAATTTTTTAAAGGATCTAAGAAAAACAAGGTAGTTGATGTAATAAAATCCAAATAGTTTTCTCCTTCATTTATTTTTAAAAAATTCTATTTCTCAAAAACTTAATTTTAAATAAAGAGTACTTATTTTGTGTTGTAACGATTTTTACCTAGATTTTCGTAAATGCAAAATACCTACTTAAATGGAAGAATGTCTGTTTAGGGTTAAGTGTACATAAAATTAACTAAATAGGGTGAGTATTAAAGTTACTTTAAAACAAAAATTGCAGAAAATTAGCTTAGTAAACGTTAAATATTGCTCATAAAAATAAAAATTAAAAGTAAATTTTTGATTTAAATTACAAAGAACACAATAGATATGGAAAATTAGCTGAATAAACGCAAATATTGCTCATAAAAAAAAATTCAAGAAGAAACTAATTGCCGTAAATTACTAGAGAAATTAGCTGAAGGATAAATAATGCTCATAAAAATTTTAAGTAACTTTTTACTCCTAGACAATTTTTTATATTTTATTTCATAACCAATGTTGAACAACCGACCCAATTTTGGGTTTTAGACTACAAATGCTCAACTCCATAACCTTGTAGTTTTGAACCCAATCCAGAAGACAAGGTAACTCCTGGATCAAGTATTGGGAGAAATTTGCCTCGGTGTTGAAACTTTTTAATGGGGCTAACCCACATTCACATTGCATGGAGAGGAAAACTACAAGAACCTAGCACAGTTAGCCTGACGGCAAGAAGACTCTAACCCATAATCCGTTTACCACAGTGGATATTTTACGTCAGCAGTGTGGTCGGAGCGAGCCTGGTGGGTAATTCGAATCAACCAGCCATGGCTGAGATTTGCACCCAGCTCACTGCATTGGGAGGCTAACGCTCTACCCCCTGAGCCATTAGGGCTCTGCCTTAGATTATTAAGAAAATCATAGGTTATATGAAAAATTAGCTGAATAAGGACTGAATATTACACAGAAAAATAAAAGTTCTATAAAATTTATTACCTAAAATTATAGGTCATATGAGATAAAAATATTTCTACAATTACTTTAGATCCAATAGCTACAGTAAGTATATGAGAACCATCTTCTGCTGATACCCAGTCCATTTGAACAATTGACTTAGGAGCAAGAAGATCTTGATTTCCTTTCTCAGCAATAGCTTGTCTCAAAGTCTGCAGTGTTGCATAGCTAGGTACAGATAAGAGTCTCTGTAAAGGCAAACGCTCATTCGCAGTTTCTTCTGTCGAGAGTTTTTGTAAAAGAGTGTCTGCAGTTCTTTTATTTCTTTGAGATGATTCTACTAATGAGTCTAAATTTAAATTCAGCTTTGGGAGAGGTAAGCTAATGTTTCTTAAATTGATGGTGTCCTCTAATACCCATTCAGATCCTCCAGTTGATTCACATTCAAAAATCGATACGCCAATATTTACATATCTTTTTTCAGGATTTGGAGAATTGTGTCTAGAGAAGGACTTTCCATGCTTGAATGCACAGGCCATTCGACCACTATAAGCACAGCTCACATATAAAGGATGACCTATATCAGGAAAAAAATTAATAAAGTTTAAACTTTTTGGTAAACTGAAGTATATGTTTTAAGTAAAATACTCTAACAGACTTCATGAATCTTAGATATGTTTTCTCTCTTTTACAGAGATTGATCTAACTTTGATCATAAATCACTCTGCACCAACCAAATACCGAAAATGTCTATAAAAGAATTAATGGAGTAACACCATTAGGAGAATGAAACATACTAAATTAACTTGTTTTCTTTATAAAAGAATATATAAATCAAGAAACATGTTACACCATGCTGATTTCATTTCTCTAAGAAAAATTTATATTTATTAAATAATAGTAAACATTTTAGATGCAAGTGATTTACTATAAGAGCATACCAGCAACTTTAGTTACATTTTACAAGGAAAAAAAGCTTAAAACACAATGAAAGAGAAAAATATTGAATTTTTGTTATAAATACTTATATTTCAAACTAATAATTTACATAATTTACTTCTTTACAGTCATATGGTTGCTCTCTGCTCTAACTCATATTGAGTATCAATAAATTGTGACTTTAAATGATTAAAATCCGACACATTAATCAGAAAATAAATACCAACTTAAGAATTTTGAAAAGAATACTGCTGCCCTTGTAAATTTTGTCTCTGTCACAAATCAAAAGAATATAAATAACCTAAAAATTAGTTATTAATTTAGTTGGGCCAAAATGGTGTGAATAACCATGCAATTTTTGCACTGTTTGCTTTTTGAAAAAAAAGTTTTTAAAAAATAAATAAATAAAAAATAATTGCATTACTTAATAGAAAATTAAATCTTCATATTTATTACTGCATGAAGTACAAAATCTATAAAGCTTATTAGGGTTATACTTTAGGCCTTTAAAGACAGATAAATTAAGTAATAACTATAATCACAGTTTAGGGCAAATAAAGGGCTAATGGAAGAGCAGCTAACAACACCAAAGTTTAAGTCACATGTTTTTTACAACTGATATCTTTTTTAAAACAGATAATGACTGAGTAACTATTTAGGTCTTTTTAATAAATGAATACATAGCCCTTGTAGATTTACTTCCAAATCAACGCACAAAAACTGATATCTAAAAATTAAGATAGTACATGGAAAAAAAATTATATAGGTATATAAATAAATACGTCAGAAAATAAAAAGAGCCCTGTTACCAACAGAATTACAAATTATAGTTTTTAGAAAATAGAGATAAAAATTAGAACACTATTCTATTAATACACATGATGAGTACCTTCTTATTTTTTGTATCTTTCTACATTTTGCTGAAGCTTAAACATCAATATGAATATCACTTAAAAAAGTTACAAGTTTTTACTTGAAAAGTTACAAACTTTTCTCAAATACAGTTTTCACCAAAGCAAAAGATGAAAATTTTATACTAGCTTATAACTAAACTATAAAACAGAAAAATAAAAGACAAAATTTTAAAAAAAAATCTGACATATTTGGTTTAGAACATTCAGAGAAGCTCACCTGGGACTCTAACAGAACTAGAAGATTTATTAAGCATCATTTCCCATTCAACCCACGAATAATCTGGCGTATCACTACCTTCCACATCAGTGATTTCACACTTCCAAAACCTAAACAAAATAAAGTGCGGAGTGTGTAAAAAAGACATTCTACTTCAGTAGTCCTTTAAGTAGAATGATTGAGAAAAAAAGTTTTTATCATAAGATAGCATTATACACTGTTGAAATTTAAAATCTAGAAGACTTATCAATTTTTTTAAAAAAAATCTCTTTTTTCAATTTTTCAAAAAATAACATTCGTTACTTCTGCTAGTTTGCAGCTCCATTTTATTAAAAATGAGTTTAACTAAGAATTCATTGCACATTTTTAATAATTATTCATCTTTAGTTTCTTATGGTAAACACAAATAAATTCAATGCTGGCAGTTTCTATGGCATATGGGGGTGATATCACCAAATTAGAAGAAAGAAAGTTGCTTTAAATCATTTACTTATTTTGCGTAAAGTAACATTTTTAAAATGCATTTCCATAAACCTAAATATAGTCAACAAAAAATTGAAAAAGTTGAAATTGTACACTAAGTGCCAATTCATCAGGTAAATGGCATGGATTTGGTAGCCTTAGCAATCACATGTTAGCTGCAATAATTAGCCTCATTTTCAGTACAGAATAATACTAGGCATCATTAGTTTACCTATATTTTGGCGTGTTGAACCTCAGTAACATATTTTGATCAATTTAGTCATGTTAAGTCACCAGAAAGGGTAACATATAATGTATATTAAAAAAAAAAAAAACAATTTAACAGAAAAATTAATAGAAGGTCTAAAAATCCAAAACCTAATAATTGGTATCTAATAACTGTCAATTCAAAAATATAAAGTGACCAGATATGGCAACAACTAATAAAATTATTAACTAGCAAATTCAAAAATTATTATTAACTAGTAATACCGTAAGTACTTGTTTTATGAACACTAAGTAATGTACTTTTTTTATTCAAGCATAACAAGATTTAACAACCAGTAACATAACACGATTATAATAACAAATCCATTTCTAAAAATAAAAGTGCAAAAGTTGAAGGGTGGTGTATCATTTTGTATCACGTGATCTTAATCTGGAATTAAAGCAAAAAGGAACCAGAGTGTGCTATATTACATCAAAAGTAAACTGAATTGCAGAATAACTTATCAAATGGTGATATTAACTAAGTCTGATACAAAATCACAGGGGCACCTTAAAATAGCGGGACCCATGTTTTACCGGGGGAAAAATCTTTCAAGATAAACATTTAGTATCAGGTTTAATACTCTGTTTCTTATAGCTCAAATGAATACTAACTAATAAGAAGCGAGAGTAATTTACAATTATACTTATAAGATTAGAAAACACCCAACATTCAAACATCTCCAAAAAATACTGTGATACTTACCGAACATTATAATCAGAACAAGCAGTGCATATGAGATATGGAGCAAAACAAGCCGGATAAATATTTGATGAGCTTAAATGGCCAGCAGCAGGACTAGCATGGACAATCTCAACATCGTCTGGCAAAGGCATTACTTGAGTGCAAACCTGAAAATATTTTTTTAACAAAAATATTGTTAAATAAATAATCATATAATTTGTTAACACATATCTGTTAAATTATCATTTACAATAGTTCATCCATCAGTTCTAGAACCTTTAAAACAAACTAAATACAATTGAGATATAACATTAGTTTTCTCATTTATAATTATTCATAATTTTAAAAATTCCAATTTTAAAATTAAAAAAAAGTTTCCATTTATGGTTTTATATTTTGGCTATGATGAAGCTGCCGTGATGCGTACAAATTTTATTTAAGTATAAATTTATAAAAATATGACAAATAGGCCTCTTCATTTTCGAATGAAGGTAAAAATATTGAGATTTTGAAAATGTAACACAGAATAATAAATTCGAAGCTTGAAGAAAAATTTCTGGAAGTTGTTTAAAATGAATCTCGAAAATTTGTATGTTCTAACAATTCCAAACGGCAATGTGTTGACTATCTTTAGTTCGGGTTGGTGATTAATTTTGTATTTTAAAGAGAATTATTAGCCAAAGATGAAATGGAAAGCTTAAGACATAACAAACGAGAAATAATCATTAAAAATAATTGGTTAAATAAGTTAAAAAAGCAAAATGTAGAAGGATATGGGTAAGGTTTTATTCAAATAAAATGTAGAGACGAGTTACTGATAGATTAAAAAAATACCTCTTTCAAATAAAAGTGAACTAAATGAATAAATATGTCGCAATATAATTTCAATAGTTATGTCGAGTTTTATTTTTTAATCTCAAATATGATAATATCAAGCAGATAAAGAGAACTAGTATGGAGCATAATTTCCAGAAATAGGGATATTTTTTATGCATTTATGCAAATAGCTTAGCATTGATTTAGTATGCACAATGTAATGAACATACTCTTTCGGAGGATTATTTTTTTAACCTAATGACACGAAAGGAAAATATAAATTGTATTTTATTTATAACCTCAGTTCAGGAAAGGACAATATTGCCAATAGAGAAAATCATAAAATAGAAAACTTGAACTATCAAATAACCACTCCCTAATTTAGTTAATTTTTTTTTAACGTTTCGATAATTTAGTCAATATATATCAAGCACTATTCATAACTTAATTTATTACAGGAAAATTCATACTTTTACTGTAGTTATTCGAAGTGGAGATGCCTGAGAAAATGCTTGAGAGCCATCATGTGCTGGCTCAGGTGTTTGGCTTCTAGATGATTGATTAGAGTGATCACTTTCTTGAACTAAATTACTATCAGCCATGTAAACAAAGTTATTGGGATCTTGATCTAGATATTAAAGATAAAATAATTAGCGAATACCTCTTATTGCTATACATTTAAAAAAAACATTTTTAAAAAAATTTAAAGAAATTAATAGAAAAAAAGATAACATATTTTAACATGCAAAAAGCTCTCTTAACCCTTTGAAGCAGAATTTTCAGTTTCATACTTTTTCATCATTTTGTATTAATTTAGGTTAAAATAAGTGATTAAAGGTAAAATTTTATATACGTGGCTCACTTCCAAACAATAATTTTTCAAATTTGCACTTATTTGCAGCTATTTAGATTTATGAGAAACAGTAATACGTCATTGAAATTTATTAATTTAAAAAATCAATTATTGATAAAATTTTGAATATGAACGGAAAAAAATTTTAATATCGAAAATAATTAGCGAACACCTATTACAGCACATTTAAAAAAAAAAAAAATAAAAAAATAACATTTTTAAAAAAAATTTAAAGAAGCATGACCATTATAATTAACAGATTTTCTAACTAACATAATATAAGAAGGTCCTTTAACCCTTTGATGCAGAATTTTCATTTTCATACTTTTTCAACATTTTGTATTAATTTAGGTCAAAATAAGTAAAAATATTATATTTACCATTTAAAAAAAATTTTTATGAAATGCCGCATTTAATACCAGTGTCGCTTTTTGCATTAAAGGTAAATTTTTACAAACATGGCTCACTTCCAAACAATAATTTTTCAAATTTTTACTTATTTAGATCTATGAGAAACAGGAATTCATCATTGAAATTTCTTGAATTTACAAAATCAATTATTGATAAAATTTTGAATATGAACAGGAAAAAAAAAATTTCAAACTTCTGTTTTTTTTTAGGATTTCATATTTTAATACAAATATAATTCCAATAATCTAACAACTCATCTAACAATAATCGTCTTAATAAATGATCTTCCAATAATTTTTAGTTACTATTAGACTTTTAATAATTAAAAAATATTAAAACATATTTTTGCTTGTAGTTAAGAGCATTAGAAAAATATATATAAAAGGAAACCCAGCATCCCATCTGTGTCAAAGGGTTAAGCATTTTAAAGCATTTGACTTTTAAAGAAAGCTATTTCATACAAAAATAATGACCTTCAGCAGCAAATGGAGAAGCAATTACAATTTTCCACATATGTATTACAGATCTGTTGTCTTGTTTCTCTAAAATGACTAGATAGAAAGGCTCCTCAAAATTAGAATTATGTCTAAGATCTACAATGGCTTGCAAATCTGGTTGAACAAAGCTTATACTACTCGCAGCCATACGATTTCGTCTCATGGGACAGCTGGAAAGTAACTGCTCTTGAAACACATGTAACAGCTGAGTGTTTTGCCAATCCTATAAAAGTTATAAATATAGAAAACTGCAATATAGAAATAAATATAGATAAATATAGAAATAGTAGAAAACTGCATTATTTCATAATGTGTATGAAACATAATTTTCCTTTCAAAGTTTTTAATATGATGTGAAATATTAGATTAAAGTTCAAAATTAACGAAGGTCCATTGGACCAGGATCACTAAAATTTAACTCTGCCATAAAATAAATTATGAGTGATCTCCTTAATCAACAATTGAGGTAAATGGGATGGTATGCTGTTTCAGTTTTTCTATTTTGAATTTCTTGTTTTGGTTTGTGTTTTCAAAGTAATAGCAAACTTCATAATTGTGTTACACATGCTCTGTTTTATGATTTTTCACTTAAATCATGTAACAAAAAAAAATCTAATAGAGACATAAAAACAGACCAGCAAAACTGTGTATTGATTAGTTATATCTCTTAGTTACTCATCCTTTGGACCAGCGATTAAATTTTCTTAACTGCAACCTTTGTAGAGGTTTAAAAAATATTTTTTTTTGCATGGAAGTAACTATTATAAAACCAATATTACTCTTTAACTAACAATTCAGAGACTAGAAATTAAAAACTTGCTTATTTTTATTTTATTTATGTCAAAATATAGGTAAATGATTAAGATTAATATTTGCTATTTTTGCAAAAAGTGTTATGGTAACATCTTGACTTTCTAAAAATGACAAAGTCAGAAATCTATTGGATAAATTCCAGAAATAGTTTCAAATTTAACTTCATGTAAGTATAAAATGCAATAAACTCCTCAATTAACTTTAAAAAAATATATTTATATAAAACTCACATGAGTCGCATCAGATATTGAGTCCAGCTCAATAACACAACCAGGTCTTGAAGTTGACTGTTCACTCACAATTTTAAAAGCATCTTGTAATGTACTGTGCCTATAACCTAATCCAGATGAGGTACTAGTACTTTGGCTCATATCCTGAAATAAATATACATGATACATGTCACTAAAAAAAAATCTTTACTTATAAAAGATAGTAAATTAACAACATTTAACACGCAGTTTAGAACCTTACGATCTTATTAAAACAGTAAATTAATTAATATTACACAAATTTGGCTAAAATCTTGAAAACGCAACAAACAACAAACTTTCATTACAACAAACTTTTGGTTATTCAATACCTAATTGGTTTGTTCCAAATTTCTTTAATTGTTATTTTTAATTAAGGATCTAATATTAGGTAATACATCTCATATTCTTCATTTTTAAATGTTTTTCAAAGTTGACAAAATATGCATTCTTGTAATGCTGCATTTCTAGGAACAGTTATTTTTTTTTTTTTTTTAAATAGAGCTCTAAAAATTATTTTAATAGAGATTACTTACTTGTGTATTGTTTCGACGGGAGGAATTAGAAATTTCTGCTAGTAGATTCCGAGCATCAATTACAGCTTGGTATATTCTTAGTTGATGGCCATCTGAAGCCACAAAACAAGCACTTGGTGAGTTAGAAATACTTCCTTGAGTAGTACTGTAGAGAAAAAAACAATCGAAAAGAAATAAATGATAAAGAAAATTATCCCATACTCTCAGTTAAGAAGAAAATCCAAATCAATTTTTAAAAAAAGCATCGTAAAAATTTCCTCACTTGAGACTAATTAAAATTAAACTATAATTATCAAATATTTTAGCTTTACAGAAAATACACATGAATAAGAAACTTCTGTCAGTTTTATAGAGAAATCAAATGTAATTCATTTGGGATTTTAGAAATGAAATTAATATATTGTAGAATTTATTTTGAAAATGAAAATAAAACTAGGCATCTAAAAATAGTAAAAAGCATGTATCGTTTTAAATTAAAATTCCAACTTTTCAATATTTAAAGCACTCACAAGTTTCAAATTCAACTTTATGCATGTTTGCCAAAAAATAAGTTTCAGCAACTACATACAATTTGAATGTGCACAATTAGTTACTGTTTCTTTATTCTCATTAAAAAAAAAATTTATAATCCATGTAACAAAAATTAGTTTAATAGATGTGCTTACAGTTCAAAGGAAAATATTTTTCAAAAAAAATATTTTTGAAAAATATTTTCTTAAACTATGAATATTAAAATTATCTCAAGACTTTTTAATTGAATAAATTAATGCAAAATTTTTTTCTTAAAACAAAAGCAAAATTAATTAATTTAAAATATTTCGGAGAAAATAAATTGCACACATGTGAGGGTTGTGAACCTAAAACTTCTAAAATTAAAGCATACAATCTACCATAACATTATCAGATCAGCTTTACAGTAATAAAAACAATAGAAATTCATTCAAACAAACTAAAGCAATTAAATGTAAAATTATTTTAAATAAAAGCTATCTTCTTAACAGAACAAATTCTTCAAAAAAAACAAAATCCAAAACGAATGACTTATTAATTAAAAGAATTTATAAAATGAACTTGAATGATAAAACCAAAACGCAATTTGGATACGAATAAGAAAATACTTTAGATAACAATTTAATTAAATCTACCATTCTAATAAATTTTTTTAAACTTAAATCTAAAATAATATGTAATGTTTTTATTTTACCTAGGCAACAGTGTGGGTATCCAAGCTACATTGGCAAAAGCTGCAGTTTCTGGTGAATTTATTCTAGCTAATTCGGTGACACCACCTGATTTAGAAAGTGGACCAACTGGCTCCACTTTCCAAAGTATAAGCTCACTACAAAAACCTGACTGAAATCCCATAGGCTGGGATATACAGCGACAAGGACTAGTAGGAACAGTAGGACTAGCTGCACCTGAATCATTCTGGTTTTTGTCAGGCAAATTATGGTGGGACGTTGTCAACAACAGAGGAAGAACTGGATGGCATGTGATGTCATTAATACGAAATCTGTGACCACAGACACGCCTAAAGTGTCCAATGCTTAATACCTAAATAATGACCAAAGAAAAAATTAACAATATAAACTGAAATAAATTTAAGAACATAAAATGGCCTATAATTTAAAAAAAACACCAGAAAAGATATTCAATAAAATTAAAACATCGGCTTGTTCCTTTTAAGAATAGTAGAATGAAGAGAAAATTTAAAACAGTATAAAACATTTTTTTTAAATGTAAACAAACTTATTTAATACAAGAAAAAAAAACAAAAGAGAAAGGCTATAATTAAAATTTAAAGAAATTAATAACATACAAATAATTTTCACTCAATTCATTAAAAGGTGTAAAAAAGGCTTGCTAATATAAGAGTTCAAATATAGAAAGTTTAATAACATTACAGGAATGCCACTCTTAAGTTTTGATTTTATAAAACAAAAATGTATTTTATTTGTTAATATTAACAAACTTAAAATCTGTAACATAAGCCTACTAAAAATCAAAACAATCATTAATAGTTCTTAGTAAAATATTTAGTATAATTAACTGCTGATAATGAGTGGGTTTATAATACATGGTACAATTCAATGCAGGGAAAAAAAGTCAGGAAATAGATTTTGTGTGGAAATCAGTATGAAAATATGAATTAATTTTTAGTAATATTTTGCATCAATGAGATTTTGCTCCCACAATTGTGTATTACAATATTTTGCCTAAAAACGAGACTACAAATAATCCTAAATAGGATGTTCTGCATTAGAACATATTCTTTTGTCACATAAATAAAAAATTCACTTAACTTCATAATTAATCACACCCCTGTGGCAAAAGCATTAAAATCTTTGCGAACATCCTATAAATGTCTTCTATGTGCAATTAACTTTATACAGTTTAATCAGTACATTATCCTTAAAACTTCATTTCACTTGCAACAAGTTAGTAAATAATGCAACCATAAAAATATTAATCCAACAAATATATAAGTTGTGAATAAATTGGAAGATGATTTTAGTGAATTTCCTATTCCATTTGGCTGACAAAATATTGACATTTCATGCGTATATTTTATATATTATAATGAAAACTCAGGAAGTGTATTGAATTTTATTTCAATACTTTCTGTGGATTAATATTTTTGGGATAATTAATTGTAGTTATTGCCATATTGAGAAAATTTAAATGTTCTTAGATAGTTTTCCATACTAGCTGCATCAAAATAGAAACATTTAAAACAATAATTTTATGGTTGAAGAATTAAAGGATTGGATCACATATGCGAATTCAAATGGAAAATTTAAATTAACTGAAGATAAAGAGTACTAAGTTTAATGCCAGTTTTAAAGAGTTGAAGTGTTTTTGTAAGAGCTGGCCTAGTTTTACACCTCAGCTTAGCTATATTATGGTTGAATACAATTAATTTCAATTTCTAAAATGTCTGATGTTGGGAAAGAAGGATATTTTTTGCGGGATGTTGAAAAAAATAAAAAGTTATTTTCTTTGCAACTTCCAATAAAAAAGTATCTATACAGAGAATTTTTAAAAAAAGTAACATTTTGACTTCATTGAAATTAATCGGTGCATATTTTTCTTACAAATTAGAATCACTCATTAATTGACATTTTTAACAGTCTAATATCACCATAATTTTCTGTGTATTATCCATGGCATCGTACAATCTACAAACAGAGCAGAGATACCTGATGAGAAAAACTTCATCTGGTAATCTAAACCACTGTATAATCTGCAGATTATATGATGGTTTACTTGAAACAAAAATCTGCTTCTATTTACGATAAAAATACACAGGCCCCCTCTCATTGGTAGAATCTATTCCATATGAGAGCAAATCCATGCCATACATGATCCAATATGCATCAACAGAGAAATGTACGAACACACACGCAATCATGTTTAAAGGATATTCACACTGAACGCTAAAAAAACCTGCATGCGAATTCAGAGATATGATCGGAAATTTTATTTACAAGTTTTTCGTAAGTAAATATATTTCTCCAATAAGGTTCTTGTCCGAATTTCTGAGTTCACATACGCAAATTCTTTCGCACCCAGTGTGATTGGTCCCTTACACTTTTATGGCTGACAAAAATCAATAAAAAAATTTGCAATGTCTGCCCAGAAAATAATTTAATCTGATTATACACAATAACAGATTAAGTAGCAGTGACGATTTTCATGTTTTTTAATAGTTAATCAGAGGACTATACATGAAAAGTTATTGTTTATATTCCGTAAAAAACTTTTTTAATAGGTAATGAGCGGACTATATGCGGAGAATTCTGGTTTATATCCCACAAAAACTTTACAAATATCAAACAAACTTTGATAATTACCTGAGTATACTGAGATGTATCAGCAAAAGAAACATGCCACAAATTTAAGCTTCCATTACTGTGTTTAGTTAACATGCATACTGTAGGAGTAGTGGATCTTAATGCACAGTATTGTGAGAGATGCTTATTTACATTTCGTTTCCACTGTACATAATCCACGGATGGCTGCTGTTGCACAGCGTTTTGCTTTGCTGCCTCTTCCTTCTGCTCCACCTTTTCTTTAATCATTTGTTCAGAGACAGCTGCGCTTATTGCTAGTCGAAGATCTAACCCTGCGTGAGGAGAATACATATACATATGATGAGACATAGTAGCTGCATCACTGAGAGGAATGGCATTTGGAATGCGTGAGGCAAAGCTAACTTGAGCTTGTCGAAAGGATCCTGGATTGTACTCATCTAGCCAGTCCACTAACCTAAAATGTATGGTTTTATGCACCCTTATGAAAGTCTAAAAATACTAAGCTGAATTTTTCAAAAGTAAAACATTATGCTATATTATAATTCGGTAAATATTTTTTGTACAGTAAATCTAGTTGATAAACAGGTAGGCAGTGCTAGGCTATTGGCGATGATTTAAGAAACATCCGTTAGGATGAACCGAAAACACATCATCACAATTTTGATCCTCTTCAGAGGGAATGGCTCCCTCGCGTTGGAACATGAACGACCTGCTCGTGAAGTCGAGCACTTTACAGTAGAACATTTTAACGAGGACTGATAATGTGCAATGCAGAGAGACCCATATAGAGAGTATCACAAGAACTTTGAAACTATCTGCATTTTTTTATAGTAACATGCACTTAAAAGTTAATAAATAATGCTTAATTTATTTTTTAGATATAGGGTTTAAGTACACTAATGAAACTCTAAAAAATATTTAGCTAGATTTTTCAAAAGTAAAACATTATCATTATAATACAGCAAATGTTTTTTAGAACTATAAATTTGTACATTAAATATAATCAACCAATACACATCAAGGAAAATTTCTAATTTTATTTGGAAAACACTACATTACTGATAGACAATAAGTTTATAGTAACATGAACATCGAAGTTAATAAATAATGCTTAATTTAATTTACTTTTTAAATAAATTAAACCTATTATTTAAAAAGGTATTAAGAACAGAATAAAAACAACATCCTTAGTTTTATATATGTTTAAAATTATCAATCAAACAACATCAATACATAAACTAAGTCAGGGGTTGACAAATCTCAGGCCCCTGGTCGACATGTCCCCAAAAAGCTCCCATTTTTCATTTCATAGCATGCCGTTTCCTAAATATTGCTCATAGCTTCTAAAGATGTTCCATTTTTGTATAACCCTGTGGTAAAATATAATTTTTATGTATGTTTTAAAATATAAAAATTTCAGTGAAACAGGAAATGTTTTCATCTTATGTTGACTTTAGAAAAAGTGTTCTCTCTAATTAAATACCATTTCCTTCTATGGCCTATTCTTTTTAATTTAAATTTTTCTTAATTTACTTAACCACAGGTTTTATATGGTTCATAAACATTTTGGAACAAATGATGTTGGATCGAAAACTTATGCATTTGACTTGAATTTACAGGTTTTTGTTTTAAATCTATAAAATTATAAATAATAATGTTTAAAATAGCGATTCCAGGGTGTGTAGACAGATTTTTCAACAAAAAATAAGAACTTTTAAGTACTTTTTAAGAACTCCAAAAACATTTTTAATCACTTTCCAAAAAAAAAATCATAATTAGGATTTGTGCAATAATTAAAATTTCTTTTTAAAAACTAGAAAATTAAGCTCTTTTTACAAATCCCAAATAAAAAAAGCACCTTTAAGGGCTTTTAAAAAACGTCAATTAAAAAGCACCTTTAAGCACTTTTTTAAAAATGCTACTTACCCTGAATTCTTATGATAGTTAAAAAAAAAAAAAATAGAGAGGAGAGACATTTATAGTAAGTTATACCAAAATAAGTTGTCATGTCCGGAAATTGGATTAGTTTATTTCCTGCTGCAAGTTTCCTCAAATATGAGACTAAGGAGACTATCATTATAAGAAGTAATACTCACCACACCAAAAAACTGCCATCTACAGGGTAAACACTGAATAGTAAATCTGGAGACCTATGCCAGTCTCTAAGTAACTTTTCGATTTTTCTATCTATAAAGTCTCCAGAATAACTCTAAAATAAAATAACATTATTATTTACTAACATTCATGAACACATAGCTGTGAAAATTACAAAATTTGGATGCATGTTTTCACTCTTAGAATATCATTTTTTAAGACATAATGATGACTTTTAAATTTAATACTAGCTCAAATCCTGATCAAAAGACTCAAAAAGGTAGATCTCCTAACAACAAATGGTAACAAGTACTATTTATTTCTTTAATCATCAAAAATATTGATATCTATAGATAAGTAGTTATAAGCACTAATATAGTTTCTACTGAGCTCAGAATAAGCGATATAATGTTGTTGTCGTTGGCCATTAAAGCAGAAGGCGTGTGATTGTTCTTGTTTTCTAGTGACGTTATCTAAGGCCAAGAACTCGACTTCTGCCACACCCATACATCACACCCTTTTATGGTGCGGAATCATTCTCATACATTCATCCACTGATCGTAATTTTGATCTGAAACAGAGAATGATCAATCTCCAATTCAGTACCCCCAGAGGTTTTGATTTCTTATGGAAACATGGAGTACTTCGTGATCCGACAGATTTAATGTGCACCAGTCAAAATTTACTAAACAGGGAATTTTCGGCCAGCTGGATTCGAGCTCCCATTCTCACAAATGTGAGTCCAGGGCATAGCCAATTAGGCTATCCTGGTCATAAGAGATACAATGTTAAAGAAATTTAAAAATTTTGTAATACCTCATTGTGAAATTTAATATTACATTTCAAAGGATGCATGCATCTTGCTGTTTATGGTCTAAGATTTAAAACAATTAAATACAATAAAAGTTGTAAGAGATTAGATGTTTCAATTTTTTTCAATAGTGAAATGATTTGAGATCAGTAATGACTCCTTGTAAGGCAAAAATTTGAGGCTATTAAGCTTTGATGAGAAACTTAAAATAGTGTTTGAAAGCTTTATTAATGGCAGATAGATTAAATGCATATGAAAAATTCACAATTATAAAGTAAAATTGCAATAAAAGATATACACCCCAGTTATTTCCTAACAGTAAATAGTTGTGTTTTGGTGATAGTAAACTACCAAAAGACATAGGTAAACTGAATTAAGAAAGCTGGATTGGTTCTTTTCAATAGGATATATATTAAAATGCTTTATTTCGTTCAAAAATATTTAAAATATGAAATATGGTTTTAAAGTGCAAAAAATAACACAATTTAAGAAGTGTGGAATAAAAAAAGATAACCAACATTTTATTAAAATTTCACTTTTTGACTATAAATAATTATATCCAACCAGGGCTTTCATTCTGCTTTAGTAGTGTGAGCGTCTGTTAAAAAATAGCAACACAATACTGGTTCTTTTCATAAGCCATGCATCTTTGCAGTTTGATCAGCAGGAAAATCTATCGATAAACTACAAATATATAGGTTATCACTTTTAATCCCCCTTTCCCTGATCTTCAATTTTTGAAAAACAACTATTCTAGAAATGGTTGCTTTTTGGAAGTGTCACCATATTTGAACAAATATTTGTTATTTTGATGTATAAATATCTGATAGAGTATATACCATTTGCTATAGTATAGTCATTCTATATCAATTATTTATACACCATATAAGTATAAATATTTGATATAGAATGAGTCTCAACTGAAAAACAGCAACACAACTGTTTTTTTTTCATAAGTTACACATCTTTGCAGTATGACCAGCAGGAAAATCTATCTCTAAAATACAAATATATGAATTATCACTTTTCCTCTCCCCTCTCTGATGTTTAATTTTTGAAAAACAACTATTCTAGGAATGGTTGTTTCTTTTTTTTTTTTTTTTTTTTGAAAGAGTTACCAAGTTCCTAACTTTTCTTTTTCAATAAAATAAAAATCATATCAAAAAACCGCTTAGTTTATTAAAAAAAAATAAAGCAGTAATAGAGTTTAACAAAATTAAAAAACCCTTTTTGGCATATTTAAAATAAAGCTATGAAAGCAGCGTAACATTCAGAACTAACTGTCCTAAATGAATTACTCTTAAATAACTTCGTATTGAAGATATAAACTTAATTAATAAATATACCTGAGCTTGAGAAATAGATGTATCTGTTGCAATTGAAGTAGAAGACGATGCAGATGGGGAGCTAACTTTACTACCCAACGGCTCATTAATGTTTTCTGTCGATTCTGACTTGGGATGGCTGACTTTTCGATCCAAGGAGACTGGCTTGACTGAAATTTAAATTATGTCATGAATCAGATGCAATTAATTCTTATTAAAAATTTATACTGCAATTTTACACGAAACAATACGAAATAGGAAAATATTGTCTACTAGAGCTATTTTGAAATCAAATGAACTATTTATCTTGTGTAGCAATAAAAATTCGAAAATTCATTTTTGAGAGCTAAAACTTTGTGAGTTTGGCATAGAAAATGTTATGATGTTGCAGACACAGTGTTACGAATCAATCTATCCCAAAATTCAAAAATAAAATTTTTTTTTAAATACCTCAAACTTTATTAACCCTTTGCTTACTGTATACCATGTCACACTATCACATGTGGTCCACACGTTGTACCAGTCATAAAGGTTAATACAACAAAGCCTGTCAGCCATGGACAAACAGTGACTCATTTAAAAAATCCAAAACTTTAAAAAAAAGTAGTTTTAAGCTTTTGTAAGTAATAAGTTTTGAGCATAGTGTAAGGCAAATATAGCATGTCTTAGAGTGCTTGTTTTCTACCATGTTGCATAGCAACATTGTGTAATTTATTTTTTTTAATAATAATGTTGAATTTGCTTTCATTTAAAACTTTGATCTTATATTGCTTTTTCAGTCAATTAGTGTTAATATTAATATTTTATAACAGTATAAATCATTTTACATATTTATTCATCAGAATGAACACAGATAATAAATTTTCATTGAAATAGACTACATAAATTATAACTTGGCAATGTCTAAAGCAAAACTTTTACAGATACATTTGAAATGTTAATTAGTGACAATATAAACTAAATATTTAAAATCTTGTTTTGAGAGAGAAAAAAATTAAGAGCTGAGATATACCTTACTATTTTTATAAAATACAACATCTGAACCAAAATAAATTCTTTACAAGTGAAAATATAACACACACAAAGGCATTAAAGAAGAAATAAAAATATGCAAATTATAACTAAAAATTCTAAATCTTTTAAAGGTAGTGAATGACACAGAAGATATATACTCTTCATAAATTTGAAACAATTTAAAGGACTTTTTCTATAACTCACATCCATTTTCAACTTTATCATTCTCTTGTTCTGCATGAGACAGATCATTTTTTCGTTGCAATTGTAAAACTTTATCACTAACATCTTGCAGTAGATGCTCAGCAGCATGAGTGAATGCCATTTCCTTATTATTTAACCAATGGACAACAAAGTTTGGCTCCTTAGTTCGTCCACCACTTAATCGAGGCACTAATGGAATGTCTAAATGAATAAAAATGATAAAATATATATATTTTTAATAGTCATATATTATTGATACTATCTTTATTAAATAATTTCAAAAGTAAATAATTCTAAGAATGGCTCTGAGTGAAAGGATAAATACAGTAGAGTCCTGATTAGCCATAAGTGGATTAGTAACAGTACAAATTATTTACAAGCAAGCAGAGAAGCTTGTGTTAAAGAAAGTACTAAATTTTGAATTAAAAAAAATATGCTCTTAAAACAGGAAGCAAAAATAAGCTACTGGATTTTTAAAAACCTGTAACAGAACACTTTTATGTTCGAACACTCCACTATTTTTTGTTTTGTTGCAATTCGGTAGTTTCAGTGATTTAGACTTAGAGCAAAGATTTATGTTCAGTGTTTAGAATATATATATGTAAGTATAAATACATTTTAAAATTATTTGTGTTTCCCCCTTTTTTGGATTATCCACGATTTTTGTTATCTACACTGCCTTTGCCACCCAATTTCAAAGATAAACAGGGCTCTACTGTATATTCTTAAAAACTGTGCTGTTAGTACAACAAACAATGCTGCACACTTAATGTAGTTACAGTCATGCAGCATTATTGTAAACACAGATGGAAAAAAATCTAAATATAAGATTTAGACGTAGAGCAAAGATTTATGTTCAGTGTTTAGAATATACAGGGTGTTCCAAAATTCTCTTTACAACTTCAAAAATTCATAACTTCGAAAATAAACAAGATATTTATATTCTGACTTTTGCATGCATTACTACAACTAATAAAGTTTTGTTTAGTACACTTCAACATGCGCACCATTGGTGGCCCTAAGCACTTCCAGTCTGTAATCAATTTCAAGCCAGGTGATGTAAAGATAATTTTGGAATACCCTGTACATATGTAAGTATAAATACATTTTAAAATTATTTGCGTTTCCCCCTTTTTTGGATAATCCACGATTTTTGTTATCTACACTGCCTTTGCCACCCAATTTCATAGATAAACAGGGCTCTACTGTATATTCTTAAAAACTGTGCAGTTAGTACAACAAACAATGCTGCACACTTAATCTAGTTACAGTCATGCAGCATCATTGTAAATGCAGATGGAAAAAAATCTAAATATAAGATATTTCTCTTTTCATCACTATATAAGATTGTTTATTCTCAAAAATAAATCTTGAGGTGTTTAGCCTTCATATGAGATATCAAACTAGTAAGTAATGTAAATACGAGAAATGGAATAAACATACATTTGTTTTAGTAATATAAATGCTTTTGCTCATACAAACTATTTTTCATTTCTGCCTTTTACATTGCTTCTTGTTTTGATATATTTCAACATAAAGATTACTTTCCCAACTTGGTAGAAAGAACTTAATATCCATCAATTATTGATTTGGACAAATAAGTGATTTTAGTATTATTTTATTTGTTTACTTTTTAAATTAGTAATAACACATGCCTGGAAAATCTACAGACCTTAACACTAGCGATTGTTAGTACCAGGCTATTCTGAAGTAAAACGGGCTTCCTTTTTCCCCTAACAAAATCAGGAATCTCCTCTTGTCATTGAAGTAGTACACAGTACGGAAAGTTCAGTACAAATTATTCTTAGCACACAGAAAAATAAGTTCATATTTTAATAATCAATTAAAAATAACATTACAAATGTACTTAGTAACGCTTTATTAATTTTATCAAAACTAATAGTACATAAAACAATTCATATGATCCTAAGATTTCCAGGCTGCAAATCAGCAGACTTTGCCAGGATACACATATTTATTACATTAAATTCTCAATATAACATACCTGCAAACATTGTAGAAACAAAATAATGGAGATTTTATTTTACAAGTAAAGTTTTGTTACATAATTCAGAACAGAAAGAGAAATTTAAAATTGAAAATACAAGCACGTACATTTAGTGAAGTAAAAAAACAAGTATATTAATCTTAATCTAAAGAAGATTTTTTTAAATCATAATTTATAAATATTTAAACTATAAACAATCACCATACTGGAGTACTGAAAACAGTACTATCTGTTGAGGAACAAGAGAAGTACTTTTGCCATCAGTGTATATTTAATCGCCAATCGGTTTTTTTAAAATTTCTTCAAATACGAAGAAATTTGAGAATATACGGGTAAACAGGAGATAGTCATAAAATACAGAAGTCTTTATTAAAAATTAGGAAACTTGGCAGGTATGATATAAGAGTGATAGACTAAGCCTAAGTAATAAGGAAACAACAAATAAAATTTTCCAATTAAAAGAGTTGTAACTCTATAAGCTTATTAATAGAGTAATAATTATAATAATAATTATAACTCTCATTAAGAAATAAATATGTAAGGGTTAAACTTAATTCGTAATTGACATTACCTGTTTCTGCATTTATGCTTCCGGCTAAATGAAAATGCAAACTAGGTGTTACACCTGAGCCTTGTATTCCAAAACTATGAAAATCATGAACACTGTATGTACTAGGAAGAACAGCTATAGGTTCATGTGGATCTTCAGTAAATTGGCTAGCTTGGTGTTTTTTAAACTGATTGAAAGACCTGAAATTAATAATAAACATCAGCTATTGATAAAACATAGTTCACATAAAGAAAAATGTAAGCAATCAAACCTTGATTATTCTATTCCTGAGCATTTCAATTTTCCGCATGCATTGTCTTGTTTTAAAGGTCCCGTCAATTACGTCAGTCTTATAATGCTAATAATTAAAGTTCAGATCGTTTTCGAATTAGCATATTCCCGAGCCTATCGTTCAGAAATTAGATCGTGATTTTTTTAAAAAATTATTGCAGTAATTTTTTTTAGAAGAGAAATAGTAATTCTAATACTAATGATGTAGAAAATGAGGATTTGTTATAATTTGGTAGAAACACTTCCACAGCACATTAGATAATTATACATCAGTTGATGGAAATGTTTAAACTTGTGATGTTCAATGTTCAAGAAATAGTTGCAAAAACTAAAGAAAAAAAATTATGTTGATGCAAATTACAAAATAAAACTACAACAGGTGCTTATGTTTTGGGAAAGAATGTTCCTTTTGAAACAATGAGAAACTTTCTGCAATTACTCAAACTTATAAAAATTCACAGCAATTGATTACAAGTGTTGAAAATTTATTGCTTGTGATGAAAAGAAAAGAGTGTGTTCTAACTGTAATTTCTAAATATTTTGAATAAAAACAAGCGCTTATTCATCTTTCTTTTGTATACAGTTGTCTACATTTCTACATACATCGGCATTTTATCAACGTACATCACTGTCTACATTTTTTTAAATGTTTGCTAAACTGCTAATGTGCTCAATGTATAGCATATGTGACACTCCTAATTATACAAGTAATCAGTAAAAACAAACTAAATAATCATGCATTCAAAGATCATTAAAAAACTAATTTATATTTATGTTACTATTTTAAAGTAGGAGAGAATGTTACAATAATTAAATAACAAATAAATCAAGACAACAGCTTAGTGTTATAATTAAAAACTAATAAAAAGAAATAGGATGAAATTTTATAATTTGAAATAAGATAATTAAAGAATATAAGTTAGCTTACTTCATGTGTTTTAATCTTTGCATGATTTTTCTTCTATGCCTCTGTGTTTGCACTCTGAGATTTTGACATGCAACACTTTCAATTTGCTGCAAATCGACTAACCCATCTTCAGGCATTAAAGTCTGCACCCATATCCGGCATATGTTATCCCGACAAGATGTTACAAGCATGTTAGCAACAGAGTCCCTTAAAAAGTTTTTAATTTCCTTGTACTATTTAATGGCAAAAAAACTTAAGCCAGAATAGTTAAATTAAAATGTAGTTATTCTAAAATTAAAAGAAGTCATTTGAACATCAAACACAAATATAATAATATTTCAATAGTGAGAAATACTATTTCAAGAAGAAAAATTTTCAAACTAATTAGTCTACTGAAGAATTCTTTTCAATGATATTTTCTTAAATTAGTTGACAGAATATTATCTCAATCATAGTTAGTTTAAGATATACATACACGGCTATTAAATACTTCATTATTTATACAAATGTCCGACCCTTAATTTACAGATCAATATTGATATTTTTCTCTGTCTGTTACTATTCTTCCTTAGATTAAAGCTAAAGAAGCTAGTAGAAATTTGGCGACTGCTTTTTAGATGCAGCACCTGATAGAACAAGTGATAATTAATTAAAAAGGCTCAAAATGGATCATTTTGCCTTTAGAGATAAATTAGACACTAGTGCCTTTATTTAAGATCCAACAGAGGGCTTAGCCCCTCAGTAAAATAAAAATTAGTGAAAAATGCTTATACGTTCAAAGGCAACTATATACTTATATTGTAACTAATATAGCAACACCCTCATAAAAGATTATTAAGAAATTAAAACTATTAATGCATCAGTTGTCTTTCTTTTTTTTACAAGATAAAATGTTTAATTTTTCTGAACTGATAACGGAAGGACGCTTTTTTAAAATAAATAATAGATTTTGTAACCTTTTCAAGCAAAACTTGGTTATTTAAATATAATCTAAATTATTGCAAATGTCATGAAGGGCATGGGTAATACTAACATAGGAAATTAATAATTAAAATTTTCTTGAGTGCAGGGATAGTTAGATGGAGACTTGGCCCAATTCCCTTTAACAAATAAATTTATTCTGAAATCAAAAGAAATAAATATTTAATGGAACAAAGCTGCTTACTTTGGCATAAATTTACTTGTTTTCCTCCATGAAAGACCAGTTATAGCTCTAGGATGAGCTATGTAAATGAAGGTATAATTTACATCTCCATGATGACCAGTATGTCGCTGGGATGAAAAACTTACTAAAACAATAAAATTACAAAAATAATCAATATTTATAAATACTTAACCCAGTTATATATTAGTTTTAAAAAGTTTATACATGCAAATTTTACATTAATTGCAATTATGTACAATTAAATACAAATCATCAAATCATACAAAACCATAGATTTTGTAATAAGAATTAAAATTTTGCTGAAACAATTTAAGAGTAACAAGCTTGTTAAAAAAAAGAAGCAGATAGGACAATATTTTAACTGATAATGCTTTGGCTTTCACTGTGTAAGTGCAATTAGAAATTTAGCAGTATATAGAGTTGTTTTCACCAATAGTATTCCATATTTCTACAACTGTTTCACCAATTTAAAAGAAATGTGTATGTTTTGTAGTTACATAAAAAATAGTTTTTTTTTAATCTTTGCCTGCTTTTTTTTTTTTTTTAAATAATTATAAACTAGAGCTTGAAAAATTGTATAACACAAGTTTTATGGCAATTATATAAGTAACTGTGGTCAACAAAATTAATAATTTAAACAAAAGATATTTCCTTCCTGGAGAAATCAAAACATCTACCAAATAATAATTAACATAGTAAGCATAACTACCTAAGCAGTAAATGTAAAAACATTAATTCATAATAAATATGTAGCAGAAATATTTGATTGATTTTTTAAACATAGTGTTAGATTACAAGAGCTTAATTAGAGCAAAATTAAAAAGTATGTTTATTTTAATAACAAAAAAAGAGTAAAAGGTTCAATTTAATTTTAAAAATAAAAACATTTCGTCATTAGTATACTCATTTTCAGTAACTATGTCTGTTACTACTTCCAGTGCAATTATTTCTATGAATTAATTGTTTCTATAAATTTATTGTACTGAAATTTATAGTGTGAAGATAGATAACTATTCAGCATTAAAAAATCAATGTTATTAGTTTACAAAATGAATAACAGTAACCTTCTAGAGAAAAAAAAACAAATATTATTATAATCAAACATTTAATTTTTACTAACATAACAAATATCAACAATTACAAAATCTCACCTATCTTACTGCTAAACCAGATTTTTACCAATCTGTCAGATTTTCCAGCAGTTGCAAATAAAGTTCCATCAGGAGAAAACTTGAGAAAAGCTACAGGTTGAGCTGTCCTGTAAAAATTTAATAACAAAACACATTAATTAGCATAACATGTAACATTTTCAAAGATGCAAATCAATGTATCTATGAAAAAAATTAAGATTATAATAAAGATTTATTAGGGTTATTTAAACCACAAACCACAGCTGTAGAATTGATTGTCAAAACATACCACTCCAACACTAAACTGTTCTGAGAATTCAACTCAGTACTTAGAATTAAAGGTATTTCAGGCAATTAAATTTTATATTATATATTTTAGATAAGTTAATTTTTAAGCTACTTAATTTAGTAAATAATATATAGATAAGAATATATTATTTATGTATAGATAAGAATTGTTTTTTAATTAGTTAGAATTTAAGTTATTGGCATAATACTAACTTAAAGTATTTTTGTTTGCTTATTTTTTTAACATTTGTCTTTTATATTTTAGTACAAATAAATAAATCGGATAATCTAACAGATTTTTTTAGTAACTATTAGACTGCTTTTTATAATAAAAAAAATACCAAATATTTATTTGCTTGCAATCAGAGCACCAGGGAAAAAATATGTAAAAGGGACGCCAGTGTTCCATCTGCATCAAAAGATTAAAGAATTCCAGCTTTTCATGCTCTCTAGTCACAGTACAATTCTATCAGCATAAGTACTGAACATTGCAAGACCTATCTGTGTTTCTGAGACTCCAAGAAAATCTGCTGTAGCTTGCTTTAGAATATTGACAGGGCATGACTACCCGAGATCTCATCTTAATTATATTGGCATCATCAGCTCATCTGACGGAATTCTCTGTGACTCTGGTCAGCTTATGATAGCTGAACATTTGATCGGTGCCCTGCGCTAAGTGGTTTCAGTTGTATTGTCGAAAAGTAGAAAGCATGTAAATTGAGACACACAAAAAAAGATATCTGAATAGCTTTAGTTCTAATGATCGGATTTTACCTAAGTATGTCAATCCTAATGGTTTCTGGGGTGACTTCAAATGTGCTAATTATTTAGCGCTAACTATTAATTAAGTTGCAAAATCGGACGCAGAAACGCACTTTCTCTGCATAAATATATAAATTTTTTTACATATTTGGATTTCTGACCCTAAAAAAAGGGGGTGGCAGTAATTTTTTAATTGCTTAATTAGTTTTAAAAATATGACTTAAAACGCAAAAAGTAAAATTAACATTAAGTGGTTCGAACTTTGGATTGCTCTCCTGACCAAACTACGGGGACCATATTTCTCAGATTACAGCTACCCCCTATACTTTGAAGTTTAAGAATTCAAATAAGTATTAAAAAAAATGTCTATTCAGAAAAAGTACACTTGTGTCCAATTTCGTAACTTAATTAATAGTTAGCACTACATAATTAGCATATTTAAGGTCACCCCCAGGAACCATTAAGAGTGACACTCAGTATGTGAAAATCCAATCATTAGAATGAAAGTTATTCAGGGTGATATCTTTTCTTTTTTTTGCTCACTGTACACTAATGGTATAGGTGCTATATCTTGTATTGTATGACATTTGTAAAATAAATATTGAACACTATAATAAACAATAACCAAAACTTACTTGCATGTCCAAATACAGTTCCATTTACATTGTTCATCAATATCTTGAACAGAACCATCTTCAGTAGTGCATTTCACTTGAATATTTGTAGGTTCTTCTTCAATGACATCATCCTCTCCTGCAAGTGACAACTGCCACAGCTGTATACTTGCACCCCCAAGTAACAAACGTGTTCCTAAGAGAAAAGGACTTTTTTGTTAATATTCATAAATAAATAGTAGTTGATAATATCTTTTTCTAAAAGAAAGACAACAATTTTCAACTCTCTCATTCAAGAGCAGCAAAATAATTTTAATAAAATTATAATAAATTAACATTGCTTTAAAATTAAGAAAAGAAATCCTCAAAAGTAGAATGATAAATATTGTAAAAAAATATGCCAGTTCATTTTTCAGATTATAAAAGTTCACTTACCTAGGCAGTTTTAAAAACATTCTTCGGAGATGGAAAATTTTATTTTATGCAAGTGTTAGTATTTTTTAATTTCATTACAAGCGGCGAAACTGAGAAAACTATAACTAGAAATAGTAGTAACTCGGGGAAGAATTTTTTTTCCACATATCGATATCAAATCAATACAAAACAAATAAATTTTAAGATATGCTAAAAAAAAAGGAGAAGATTTTTAGCTTACATTTCTCGATTCACAATTTTTCACTATCATTCACAAATGTTTTTCACAATTTTGTAAGCAATTCACAATTTTTTCTTTCAATAAGGCTTGATTTTGAAATCAATTTTAATTATATTTTATAGTTTGCTTATAAAGTATATAGATAGCTTTTTTTTAATTATATAAAAGTTTGCTTATAAAATTATTCATATCTCACAGTTTCTTTACAGTTTTTGATTTTGCTTCTTTTCAAAAAATAAGAAGTCTATTGATCTGAAACTAGGTGGACTTCAAGCTGCCTCTGAAGATAGAACCCCAGCCCTACTTAGAACCTTAACCCCTGAATCCTCCCGACTCATAAATTATCAATAAAAATCAACTTTCATAAATTACAAGTTTAGATCAATTTTCTAAAGCTTCTTACATTAATATTATGAGATCAAAAATTTAATTTTCAGATTTTATTTATTTCGTCATTTAAAAAGTTACATAACACTTCTAGCACTCAACATTTATATCACTTTCTGACTAGCTAGAGTACGAAAGACAGTACTTAAGCTCCATGCTCAATGTCAATGCGAAATTCAATCATTTTTCGACTGCGACTAGCAGAACTTATCAGGATATTTCTATCAAGAGAATTTCCCATCAATCAAAATTTTCCAACCATTCTAAGACAGGCTAGAGGACTCAAATTTAAGCTGCAGCTCTATGCTAAATTGCAATACTATTTGCAATCATTTCAAGACAATTACCAGCAGAATTCATCATGAAATTAATGCTAAAGGAAACTTATCACCTGACGAATTTCCAACCACTCTTTGATTAACTAGAGTGCTCACATTACAAGATCTCCTCTGTGTTTAACGACAATGTAAGTTTCATCCTTTCCAAAACAATAAAAATTAATCACCATATTAACATAAAAGTTAACTGATTGGTGGAAAAAAATTTTCTGTTTTCTGAAAAACTAAAGTGTTTGAACATGATCTAGAGATCCTAGCCTGCTGACAAATTAAATAATTATTTCTTGGTAACTTTGTTACAAACAAAATTTATAGCCATATTATTTCTACAATAAATTCATTGTCAATCAAAATTTCAACTACTGTCTGATTAACCATAGGGCCTACATTTTAAATGGAGCTCTGTACTGGATGAAATTTCAAGTTTTTATCATTTCCTGCTCACTACACATACAGATTTTATAAATATATTGCCAAAAAGGAATTAGTCTTCAATCTAAATTTCAACTACTAGTTTAAGTGTTCTTAAATGAACTAGTTCTTAAATGAAGGAAATGGTTGCTTCAATTATTTTTTGACCTATCTAAGCATAATTTAGATCGTCAAGTGAAATTTACCAGGAATCTCGATTTTGGCCCCTTTTGGACTAGCTAGAGTGCTTAAATTTCTACAGGAGCTCTGTGTCTGATGATAATAAGCAATCATTTTCTTAAGAATTCAAGCTAAATTTATTTACAAACAAAAATTTTTTTATACATTTCAACTTTATCTAAAAGGTGCAAAACAAAAGAGTAGAAAATAATAAAATAAAGTAAAATTTCGTCATACAAAAAGTGCAAAGAGCATACTTTTGGTAATAAGCGTCGGTCATGTGTGATGTGCCTTTCTTTGTTTCTTTCTGTTTTGTTAAAAATCTAACTATCATTTTTTTTTCTTCATATTTTTTATTTGAAGTGTTTTATTTTCTTTAGCTAATCATTAAATCCGAATTTCTATTTTAAATTGTGACCAACTTTTATTGTAATTCAAATTTTTTTTACACTTATTGAATCTTTTTATTGAACAATTGTGTCATTGAAACCCAAAAATATAATTTAAGTAAAGAGAAAATGAATAGTATCAACATTTTATTTCTTGTATAACAATAATGAAAAATAAAAATAATAATACCCTTTGGAAGAAAATCTAAAAACAGCATTCAATAAAATTCAGTGATATGATTTTTCATTATTTAATATAGTAACAACATTTCTTGAAAAACAGTAATGAAAAATATAAAATAATACACTGCAAGAAATTTTAAAAACAATACTCAATAAAATGCAAAGTGATTTAAAAGATCTCTAGCTTAACTTCATGGAAACTTACTAAATCTAGATATTTTTAATATAACTCAAAGTATCATAACACACTTCTTTAATTATTAATGCATGAGTAACTTATTAAAAAAAACACAATTGTTTTCAAACACAAAAATAAACAGGCATTAAAATTAGGTGTTGTATGTATTATTAATTAAAATTAGATATTATCATTAAGATACTAACTTACATTTCTATAGAAATATACAACAACCAGTAAAAGTTAACATTTCAACAATGAAAAACTTTAAACTTAAAGAACAAAACAAGACATTGATAAATAAAAACATAAACAAATAAAAACAGTAAACAAATAAAGTGATAAATTGCCATAATTAATTGTAATTGGAAAATAAATAAAGAACAGCCATTCCAGAATTGCTCATATGGTATCAATATATAGTTATGTTATGCTACATTTTTCTTTTCTCAGCCAAGAGACAAGAAACTAGGCCAAGTGCAGCTAATTGCTGATGCACAAAATCAGCTCTTTAAACATAAAAATATAATTTAGTTTTCGTTTGTTTGCATAAGTTTCTCCTAGAAATAATTTCCTAGGATGAAAACTGAAATTTTTCTCGAAAAATAATGATTTATTCGGCATATGTAAATATAAGTAGCTTGATAAAAAGTGCATCGAGCTATCATAATTTTTAAAATCAAATTATTTCACAAAATAAATGATTTTGCAACATTGTATCCTTCTATGTTAAGTCTACAAGAAAAAGTTTATTTCATTTTGCTTGTAAAATTTTGGCTCTCGATCAATCAGAGAATGTTATACATATCATCAACCCTCTCATGAAGTTAGACGGAAGTAACTCTACACACTAAAAACATAAAATTTGAAATAAATTTATTTTTGAATATGTTTAGAACTTAATAAACACTTCTCTTAAAACATCACTAATTAAACCAATATTGCAGCTGTGAAGTTTCTCTAAAGGAAAATTTTTGATATGCAAATTGCTGAATTAAAATTTTTAAACGCCATCTATAATTGATAACAAACAATCAAAATATTTACCTGATAAATTCCATGACAGTACTTGAACCTGATATTCAGTTTTAATAGCAGCTGTTTGAACCCACTGATAATCTAAACGCTACAAAAATAATCAATAATATAAATGAAAGTCAGGTAAAATCTAACAATACTAACAATAATTATACCCTTAATAGCTACCTAATCAATTCATATACTCAGGTCATTTTGACCTATCCGTAGCTATTCACATTAAAAGAAAATTATTCACAAAAAAATACAATCTTGTGTTAGAAGAAACTAATAAGAGAAAAAGATATTTTCTTCTTTTTTTTTCGTCAGTTAAATTAAAAGTATGAGAAAATACTTTTGCAGTAATGTTGATGGCAAATTTTTTCAATAAAATAATAATCTGCTTCATAACAATAAGTCCCTACTCTAAAACAGAAATTGAGAGTGAGAAAAAGATAAGAAAAGAGAAAAAGATATTTTCTCTTTTTTTTTTCTTCAGATAAATAAAAAGTATGGGGGAATACTTTTGTGGGAATATTGATAACAAATTTTTTCAATAACATAATAATCTGCTTCATAACAATAAATCCCTACTCTAAAACAGAAGTTGAGAGTGAGAAAAAGACAAGAAAAGAGAAAAAGATATTTTTTCTTCAGTTAAATAAAAAGTATGGGGGAATACTTTTGTGGGAATGTTGATAACACATTTTTTCAATAAAATAATAATCTGCTTCATAACATCAAGTCCCTACTCTATAACAGAAATTGAGAAAATTAAAAATTTACTCAAGTTTTTTGCCAAGTTATATTCCACTTATATTACTGTTATACCCTTAGACGTTACTGTTTACTGTTATACCTTCAGTCACTTCACTGCTTAAACAATAATTTCCCTCTGGTAAAATTTAATTCTGATTACTAATATAAATATTTACTTTGTTAAGATTATTCTCAACTGGTTAAATTTTAATTAGTATCTTTATTGGGGGAGATATTAATACATTTTCTAAGTGATTTTAAATTTTAAAACTATTTTTTAAACAAGTAACTTTTTTTTAAAAAAAAAATGTCCTTTTAAATGTTTATTTTCTCATAATTTTAAGTTTAAATTATAGAAAAAACCTTTTAAGTTATTTATCAATAAATCATTTTTCGTTAGTTTATTTTAAAAGATAAAAAATATGCACAGAGATTTAAAAGAGACATAAATATATGCACATAGATTGCCTTTAATTAGTTTTATAAACTACAAATTTTTCTCTTATTTTGATAATGAGAGATAATTACTTTTTGAAATATACACCTAAAATAGTATAAGAGGATAATTTAAAAATTATTGAGGATTAAATTTAGTTATTACATACTATTACACATTTTGATAAATTTTTACAGTGTGAAGTGAGTGCCCTTTCAAAACTCAAAGTGCCTTTTTTCAGAGAGGAATCAGCCTGCCCTTTTTATTCCTGGGAAGAACTCAGAGCAAATCAAGGAAATTAAAAAACAATTTTTACTTTTCTTACAAAAGGAGTTTGGGAGATATATTGTAGAACCTTGAATTATGAGCCGAATTTATTCTAGAAATCAGCTAGTAATCAAGAGTAGTTTCACATGGGAAAAAAAAATCAAGAACTTATAAGAAAAAACAGTTAACATGTGAACACATGACAATCAGCAGTAAACACTATTATTCATAATTGAAAGTTCTGCTAGTTTTCAGGGATGAGATTAGCCAAAAGGCAAAAAAGCTGAATTTCCACGATAGTAAATTTTACGCAAGCGCAAGCCTTTAATAATAAATTCCAGACAGTTTAAGGTAATAAATAATGTGTTGACATACAATTGTGTACTAATCTATTATTATATAAATGATTGCATTGATACTTAACATTCAGTGAAAATAAAAATTACCAATTGAAAAAATAAAGCTGGAAATTATATTTTCCCACAGTTCACATAAGAGACAATTATTACTTGAAAAACTACCTGGTTTAGCAAATTAAAACTACTGAGAATATACATTAATATTTCATTTCTTTTAATAAATACTGTTATGTGATTTATAGCAAATATATCAGTAATATTACTTTTTAAATTATATTGGAAAAAAAAACTTTAACAATGGACCGAATCATTATGTTCATATTATAGTCTAATCTAACTAGAGCCCTCTGAAACATATCAATAACAGTGAAGTAGAAATATATAGTAACTCCTTAACATACAAAAATTGCTATTTTAGTTTGAAAAATTACATGACAATCAGCAACTGTTTAGATAATTGTTTTTTATTTGATAAGAATTTTGCATTTTATAGCATAAATAACAGCAATTATAAATAAAATTTTGATGATGAGTTAATTAACTCTTTTTCCAAAAAAAAAAATTAATTAAATCCCTTTTTAAGTGATTGCTTTTGTTTGCTATATCTTTTATGTTTGCTATATTTAGTCGTTAGTCCATCTTCAAACATCTTGTGACAAATCCTATTTTTTCTTCTTTGCAAGCACAGAATGTAAGTTTTGAATATATTCCCTTCCAGTTTCTCTGATGTTGTAACACTTACATATACTAATAATCGTCGTTAGAAAAACAGTCACCTTTATAGTAACTAATTTTAAAAAAAATTACTTCTTACAAGAATCGCGATAGTTGATCTTAAAATTGCGTGAATATGAATAACAATTATGGATTTTGAAATCACATGAATATGAAACTAGATATACGATTTTGAAAATGAGAAAATACAAACTGGGATATAGAATTTTTAAAACGCGTAAATACAAATCACGATTCATAATTTTTAGATCGCGTAAATACGAATCATGATGCGTAATTTTTAGATTGCATAAATAAGAATTATGATGCATAATTTTTAGAATGCGTGAATGCGAATCCCAATGCCTTATTTTAAAATCACGTATAAATACGAAAATCAATGTTTGATATTATAAACCGCATGAGCAAATCAAGACATTGAATTTTAAACTTGCGTGAATACGAATCGCTACATAGGTTTTTAAAAAGGCGTAAATACGAATCACAATATCGGATTTTTAAATCTCGTAAATAAGAATCGCAACGTACAATATTCAAATCGCGTGAATAAGAATCGCAACACGCAAATATGAAAAGCTATGTTTGATATTAAAATCGTGTGAATAAGAATCGAGATATTAGCAGATTCCAGGCTTGGGACCTCTAAAAGGCTTGTCAGAAGCAGCGTCGTTTGAACTACGAAAATCGGATCTATCTGGAAGGCGGGTAAAAAATTCGAAAAATCTTATCTGCTGCGTGTAAAAGGGGAGAAAATAGCTAAAATAAGTAAAAATGGGAAAGGATTGGTAGCTATGTAGTTTGAATTTTCCGTTTCTCTTTGAAAATCTGTGAATTTTCTGAAAAAGTGGAATACTTATAAAAAAAAGTGAAATTTTTAGAAATTGATTAAAAAAACAGCTGAAATTCAAGAGATAAAAGTGAAAAAACGCGGAAATCCGCTAAAAAGCGGAAAAATCTCATCCCTGAGTTTTTTAAGTTAAAATTTCCCCAAAATTCACTCCTCTTATTCATAACCAAAACCTTCTTTTGTGTTATATCCTTATCATTGCCTTTAAATCAAATTGCTCGCAATACAAAGTGCATAAGTTTTTGCTTTATAAAAGATAATTTTAAGTGGATAATGACTTAAAATACAAATAGAATAGAACAAGTTCGAAATTTTATTTTTAAATAACAATGAAACACATTAAAATTTGCACACAAAAAAAATCACTTTTTGCAATGTAAATGTAGTTTAACAAGTAAATTTATAAAATTTAAAAATTTAGCCTTTTAAAATATCTTTTTTTTCCCCTATAATGAACATAAATCTTAGAATTTTTTTAAGCAGAATATTTGTTTTTAACTAAAATGCTTTAATAAAAATTACTTCGAACAAACCTCCTTGCTAAACAAAATTAAGAAAGAGTTTTATTTAATTTCATAAAAACAGATAAGCGCAAATTATAACAACATCCTTGTATATTGTTTAATGCTGAAATTGTTTGTTTTTAACAGTTATAACGCTCTTTAAAAAAAAGGGATATGTAAATATACATGTTTGTTATGTCAAACATAAAAGTTTTTATTTAATAGGAAATAAAAATTCAACACATCATTTTAAATAGCTTATCATTAACAATAAAAAATACATATCATGAACTAATTTGTGTTTTAAAAAATTAACTTTATTTTAAAAACATATTTCGTAAAAGAAAAGAAATTTTTTTACATATTTCATTCAGACAAGTAGTATCTAATAAAAGTCAAAAAAATTTTATAATCAATGTATCATTTGTAAAACAAGACTTTCACAAAAGAAATTTGAGTATAATTATATTAGCTAAGGAAAGTTACTGTCTAATTAATTTGCATAAATATTTATCAGTAACAAAAACATTATTTTGAAAGTTTAGTGAAAATACTTTTTAGTAACTCAACTTTTACTCAATGTTTGACTCAACTCATAGTCAATAACTATTGATTTGAAACATAATAAACTTGCTTAGTATGCTTATCAACAAGAAATCAAAGTCAGCACATTAAATCAAGGGGAGAGGGAAGAGTATTAAGATGAGCTGCATGCAAAGATTCAAATTTTATCTGATAAAAGTTACATTTAAAATTAAATAGTAAGAAGATTAAAAATTCTGAAATCAAAAGTAACACATATATATGCTTGATTAAGAACAATGGAAACAAAACCTGCAAAAAATGCACAGGAAGGTCAAAATGCTTCTACAGGTAGACAAAAACCTTTTGCACACTAGAGAGTATATATGTAAAATTTAAAAAAAAAACAATTCAGAAAAATTTTAAAAAATGCAATTTTGAGTCGACTTATCTGAGATTTAAATTTGAAACATTTTAATGCTCCAACTAAATGAATAAAGAAATAAAGAAAACTTACGTGACTAGATGATTGATTTAAAAGAGGGGTAGGCTCATAAATGCAAACTTCATTTCCATAAGCAGCTGCAATCTAAGCAATGAGCAAATATAAAGTATTACAAATATTTTATTAAATTTCCATACGCATTCTGTATTCTAAAATGTGTGAAGATGAATATTGACTTGTATTAACTAATAACATTATTGAAATATTATGATTTATTTCAAATAGCACATCATAAATAATAATTAAGTTTAAAAAAATACTCCAAATATTTCTTCATAATTCAATGTCTAAAAAATAGCAGCATTGAAAAAAATTTCTTAATATGCAACAAAAAATCCTTACATCTTTGTAAATGAAAAATAAAAAGGAAAAATTAAAACCCTAGATTCTTGTACTACCTTATTTACACTAACATATCAAATATGGAATGGTTATTTGTGAAGATAGCACTGAATTATTAAACATTTGATGTTGTATTTTTAACAGTATATATATATGTTTGGAAAGGGCAAAACATACAGCTTTCTCAAACAAGACTATGCTTCAGTGTATTGATAATACAAAAGAATATCTCTTAATCAAAGCAATTATTTCCTCTGATTATTTATTAACTCAGAAAATAAATATCGTATATCATGGTGCAATTTTACAAAAAATTATTAATTATCATGGGTGGAAATAATAACATTTACAAATAAAATTCTACACAAGTTTGCCGAGATACCAACTGTTAAATAATCCAATGCTGTATATTAGAAACTAATTATGCATATAATGGGTTCAAAATATACATACTTCCATTTACATAATTTTTTTAATTTAAAACTCAAATTTAACTTCCCTATTTAATAAATATATTATTAAATTTATATCTCAAAAAACATTATAAAAAAATTTCCTTAATCATTATAAGTTATAAAGTAATATAGGTACATTACATACTTTTCCAACATCAGTTGAAGAATCTAAACACCCAACTTGAATATTTCCATGAATCAAACCAGGTATGATTTGTACCCTCTGAAAATTACTAGCAAGAATCACAATATTGCATCCTGATGCATATGCCTAAAAAAAACATATTTTGATCAAATTATTATCAAATTGGATCTAAAATAAATTAAACTAAGAATAATATATTATTAGACATTAAAAACACTCATTTTTAATAAAATTACAACGTTTAGTTTTGAACATAAGCAAGAAAAAAGATGACTTTCAAGGAAAATATAATCATAAATTTTGTTTTCTTCACTGTGAATTTTTACAATATAAAAAAAAATTGAATGGATGGACAAACATTCTTTATAATTAATTAATTAATAATTAGGTAAACATATTTCAACAATTTTCTACTTGACATTGCAAAATATGTATTTATAGTTTTAAAAAAAATATACGTTTCTTATTCGGAAGGAAAAAAAACAATTTTTAAGATATTTTAATAACCTTCCCTAAAAGGAGCCTTCAAGCCCTGATGGGTTAATATTAATTTTATTTACTTCAATTAATGTAAAACCACTTAAAAAAGCTAATGTAAATTGAATTGAAATATTAAAAAATTAAAATAAATAAAATAAAAAATAAATAAAAAATTAAAATAATTGAAAAACAATTCCAAAATTAAAAAAATGAACTAATGAAATTAATATTTTATATGCAGGTATTAATCATAAAAGTTTCCATCATTAAATTTAGTGTATACACATGAACATGGGGATATTCAGAGAATTTTAAAATTTCAATTTTAATTATAATTTAAAAACATTAAAGTATATAGTAACTCTTTTTTTTAAAAAAATAAAAAGTAGAATTTTAAAGAAATTAGCAGCTACATTTAAAAACAAAAGCTTTTTTTTATGAAGTAAAAAAAAACTTATTTTGAACTACTGTATAAAAAAATATAAAACTAATATAAAATATTTACAAAACAAGGTTCTAGAAACTGCTAGTTCTGGAATAGCAAGGTAGTGCTGCAAAAACAGCTGCTAAGAACTGATTCAATAAGCAGAAACATGATTTCTACTAAAAAGGAATGAGCAAGTTAGCGGCTTTTACTTTTTGATAAATGCCTAGATAGGTTTAATGAATGCTTGGAAAAATGATAGGCAAGTATTCATTTTGTATTTGTTGTCAATTTTAAATAAATAATTTTTTATTACAATGTTTTTTTCTTTACTCATCCTTGCATTAGAAGTATTGAAAATTTTATTCATTTATAAGCTTATTTAAATTCATACTTACGGTAAAGGGCACACCTTCAACACTACCAACTGAGTAGCAGTGATCTCCAGCATTTGCTGCCCCAGTTAAAACTTGATGGCAGTTCATTCTAACAATTTAAGTACTACCTACATAAGAGATTTAAAAAAATTTAGAATTCTTGCATAAATTGATCCTAGAAAATTAGTCAATACAAAAAAAAAAAAAACTATAGTATTATCTACTTAAGAGATAAAAAAAATTTAGAATTATTGCATAAATTTATCCTTAAAAACTATTCAACAGTACAAAAAATAAATAAATAATAAAATAAAACAAACTGTGGTAAATTTACATAAGAGTAAAAAGAAATGTTAAGTTCAAGTGTTCTACTGCTAAAAAAAATTTTTTAAGTTAAAATAAAAATATCGAAAATACACCATTAATATTTAAGTTATTTATTAACTTTTAGTAAAACCATAAAAACAAACAATGTCTTAGTTTTAAACACCAGAAATAAAACAAATACAAATTCGTATGTTAAAGTATGTATGCATACAATATAAAAAGTATGTATAGTATATATATTTGTATGTATACAAATTTGTATGTAAAAATAAAGTTCAAACAATTACAATATGATGTATCATGACTCATGATACATACAATCTTTATGCTATATCCTCTCATGATTCATGAGAGGATATAGCATAAAGATTATACAGCAAAGGATAAGCAGCACAAGATGTGCCTTTTTATCCTAGTGCATATTACAAAATGCACAATGATAATATAATAAATATTTTCAAAATAAAAATGAGCTATGCTCTTAACTTCTAACACAAACATATGAAATTAAAGGCATCTATGACTCTATATTACATAAATATTAGCCCAAATTTAAATGATCAAAAGTAGCTAGACTTCTTTTTAACTAAAAAATTATCAGCTAAGATGAAATAAAACTTTTCAAGCCTGTTATAATGAGACAGGATTTTTATGGAACAAGAGATGTGGACATTTAGTTAATTTTTAAAACTCAAGTAATGACATATAACAATGAATCTGTTTGTATGACAATATACTCATTTGTATGACAATATATCATTACAATATACTCATTGTAATGAAATCAAGTGATACTTATAAATAGAGTCAAAGCCTGATGCAAAGACAAGAGAAAGAAGTCAAGGGACCAATATTTATATAAAGAAAATAAACACCCTGAAGAAGAAAATTTATTTCAACAAATTACACAGATTTTAACTTCGAAAATAAAGTTTTTCAGCTCTCCCCACGAAGAAAATGAAAGAAAGAGAAAGATGTCAGGGAACCAATATTTATGTGAAGATAAACCTTCTAAAGAAGAAGATATGAGGACATAGATGCATTTATTTCTACAAATTACATAGATTTTAATTTCTTATACAAATATCTCTGCCCTGTTGATTGTTAGCATCACACTAGAGTTGTACCAATAGACTATTGAAGATAACCTGAATTCAGAAACAACAAGTACACNTTAAATCCGGCCCTGCACTAGAGTTGTACCAATAGACTATTGAAGATAACCTGAATTCAGAAACAACAAGTACACAAATCTAAATTTAGGGAAAAAAACTTAAATATCAAAAAGGGAAACGGTAACTACAAAAATATCTACATTTTTTAGGCATTATTTGCAAGATACCTTAAATTATTTTTTCAATTTTGCACAATAGATGTGTAAAGTGACATGACAAAAAACACTATAAAAAAACAATGAAAACATAAAAAAAAGTTTTGAAACTATAAAAAACTTTACTTTCTTTTTAAAAACTTTGACTTTACTTTCTGTTTTCAAAGAAAAATATGTCTAAAAAAATAATATGGCATCACTGAAGTAAGAATAAATTTAATTTCAAATTAATTCTTACATTTTACTAGACAAACTAAGATGAAATAAATATAAAAAATACAAATAGTTATAAATAAGATTTTTTTAGAAATGCAATTACACATCTTTAATAATTAGTAATTAATCACACAATAAAGGAAATATGGGTATAAAAAATTACTCATATAAAACATTTTGTAAGTTTTCTACAACGAAGAATTTTGTTAGCAACTAAATTTAAATGTAAAATATTCGATAGGTGACATTTTTACATACCCCTCCAACCTCAATGAATTTTACTTACCTCAACATTAATTCACAAAATATTAAAAGAAATATTTTGCATTTTCAAAGGAAAATAAACTTTTAACGGTTTAATTATATTTCAAGTAACTTCGACCTTCGGAAAGAATACGATATAACGACGTATGAAAAATCTAACAATTCAAAAGAATTTGCCACAGGAATCCAAACCAAAAAATGCATACTTTGAAAAGCAGAGTCGGAAAATTTATTAGAACATAAACAAGACGTAGCGTAATAATTTACTATACATCTAGAATATTATCTTTTTTTTTATTCCTGTCACCCAGGTTTTATGATTATGGGGAGTTTCAATTTAGTTGTGTAATTAAGTAAAGCACTCACTCTCGTAATGTGATATTGAAAAAGGCATTGGTGTTATTAATAATCAAGTCTTTTTTTTTCTTAAAAAATATAAAATATTAATTTATTATCTTCCTTTCTACCTCCCTTAAAGAGAAGGACGTTCGGTCTAACCATTTATCATACACACTAGAACACACACCATCATGAATGACGAAGACGATATTGCCGAATACCGAAACTAAATTCAACATGCCATCGCAGAAAGTTCAAAGGTGAGAAAAAAAGTCTGAAAATAATAAAAGTTAAAACTCTTTAAACAAGATCTGCAATAAGGTTTTTAGATTTCTTATGTTGCTTAGTAAAGAGCTTTATACATTAAATGAACATTCATTTGTAAAAATATTAAAATTTTAATTTGAGTTTTATTTTTGGCAAAGGTATAACTTATCGGTTACAGTTTAAAGTTGATCAGTGAAAACAGACAAGATTTGTTTAGGTTTTGTCTGTAGTTCAAGATTTTTAATTATTTCTTTCAAGTTGTGAAGTTATTTTAATTTCTATCCATTGATTACAATGAGTAGAAAATTTAAAAAGGACATTGTACCTTGGAAAAATCCGTAAGTATAAGGAACTAGTCGTCCAAATGGTTTACATTATTTTTTCAGGTTATGCGATGCTAAGGAATTGAATGTTCTTATAAACCAAACATATTGTAAAGGAGTAATTTTTTTCTTCTCATAAACGTTTATAAGTAATTAATTCGTATCAACATTGAATAAATATATATTATGAACGAATAATCTGTTAAAATTATTTATATGTGAATATATTTTTATTTAAAGAACTTAGTACTTTCAGCAGGTGATACGAAAAAATAATTTAATTGATGCAGAATTAACTTATTTTTTAATAAATTTTTTTTAACTACTTAGTAGTGTAAATCTCTGATTTTTAAACCTAATAATAAAAACTATTTCCATGCGATATATTAGTAAGAGAATGTTTAGGTTTTGTTTTCATTATTTTAACTTTTTGAATCTGTTTCTAATATTTTCAGAGCTGAATTTATCAAAGTATATGAGTATGCTTTCTCTGATGATCTGAAGAAAAATCGTTGGGCTGTTGAGCAAATCACTGTTTGGGAAACACGGTAAAAAAAAAAAATTATGATTTTTTTTTTAATCTTCTTATTTAATAAGCTTGTCTTAAACTATTGTTTCACTGGTATAGTTAGGATATATTTTCGTATCAGTACCTATTTGTATAAATTGAAGTCATCAATGTGCCAAATAAAATCACCCATTTGTATACTATTGATTAAATTTCTAAAAAAAAATTCAGTGGCTTTACTAAAGGGAGCCATGAGTTTTACCATTCCACACTGCTAGGATTAGTCGTAAGTTACCTTTCTCACCTTTTGTTTTCACCTTCTTTTAAAAAGTAATCATCTCACGTTTTTAAAAATTTTAACTTTTTAAAATTAAAAAAATTTCTATGCAAGCATGTTAGCTTTTAAGATGTAGCAAATCAGGCTTCCCATGTAAAAAACTTTTTTTTTCCCTGATTTCCCTTTGATGATTATATCCCCACCGGAGGATAACTAAAAGTATATATAATTTGAGCTCTTCAGATGTTGATTCAGTACGTTATAGGAACAGAGGCTAACATGAACTGTTGCTGATTATGCAATATTGGTGTGATGAATGAGTAACTGCACTTGTCTACTTATAGTAATTTTTGATGTTCCAATGTTATCAAAATTATATTTAAATGTATTACCACCTGGTTTTTAATTCAGACTTTTTCTCTTTTAATTTCTTTCCGAGCCTATTGCAGTGTTCCCAATCAATCACTAATTTTTCTAAAAGTCAAATTTTTCATTAGTCACCGAAGATCACTTTTGACAGAGAAAAGTCATTAAATGTCATACAAAAACAAAACAAAAAAAAAAGCTGTAGACAGGGTATCCGCGCACCTGGAAAGTCGTGAATTTTGGTATTGAACAAAATTTTTCATGAAATGTTATGATTTTAACTATTTTCTTAAAAAAGTCATGGATTTAGATCACCGAAAAATCTAATTTTCAAAATGGATTTTACCCCTCATCCCCAATTTCATGGTGCTCTGAATATCTGAATTTGTAACAAAATCCCCACTCACAGTCATGTTTTATTAAAATATAAAATTTCTAGAGCAAATTATATTTTAAACTTCTGTGATTTCAGAATTTTTATTATTGTTAATTTTTTTATTTATTTTATCAATTTTTAAATTCTAGCTGAAGCAAGCCAGTCATTGGCAATTTTTTTAAATTCTGAAATGAGAACAGAAAAATCAAGAGTGTTTCTTTCCTTTCCAATAAATAAGTATCTTTAGAATATAATTTTGCAGAAAAAAAAGAAGAAAAAAATTTGCTTCTGTATTTTTTTAAGCTATTTTATTGCTTCAACTCTTCCTTTACTCTTTTTTTTTTTTTATATATCTATAGCGTCTAACAGTTTTGGTTATGCCTATCATTTCAATTAATGTTTTGTTTTTTTTATTTATTGCTGTGCTTTTGTCACGGATTTGAAAATATTAAACATAGCAGATACCCTGTGTAAAGAACTAGTTATTGTTGCTAAAGTATGCTTTTATGTTTCTGAGGATATTTTATTTGATGGGTTGAAATTATTTCAACTGGTAAAAAATAACCTTAGAGGAAATGTAAAAATTGATACTTTTTGACATTACTATATTAACCAAGAAAGACACTTCTGAGGTGCAGTAATAGGCTGAGACGGCAGGCCACCTGGAAGAAGCCTTGAAAATATCGCCATGAGAATCATCACCTTTAAGAACTCTGATGGGCAGACCCTCTACTAGATGGCTCAATGACATAGAAAATGACACAAAAAACCTTAAAGAAAAGAAATTGAGAGGGAGTTGCCATGGATAGGAGGCGATAGCATTTGTCAGCTGTTGAGGCAGCCAAGCCCTGCAAGGAGCTGTTGCGCTGACAAAGAAGGAGACACTTCTGGGGATTACAAAATGTCAAATCTTGGGGAAACTGTCAAAGCAGCTCTCACATGATTGTATTGATAAAATAAAAAAAAAGTTAGATTTTCAGTTCCAAAGTGGGCACTAAGAAAAGAAAACTGCAATGACTGAAAGAGATTTGAATGCAGTTTTATCCATAAAAGATAAGAAAAATCCATAAAATATCCATAAAAGATATTTTCTTCTCATCTTGTGTCAGTGACTGATAAATTGCTTGAAGATGGATTGTAAGTTATTTCAAAATATGCAGCTTACATGGAAGAATGCAAATACATGAAGAAAACTGAAGAAAAAGACAATGGAAAGACAGAAAAACAGGGAAGGAACTTGGAAAACAAACTGCAATGAATTTTAAATATATTATGAGTAACGGATATAAATTGATCATGAATAAAGCTATAAAAATTATAAATAAAGAAATTTTAAAAAGCTTTCTGAGGTAGACAATATTGAATTGAAAGGGGGGGGATAAACAATGAAATAAAAACAACAGCTCGAAATTCACTGGAAGAAGCCATCAACTAACTTGATGATTCCCATGGTTTTTCTAACATAATCTGTATATTATACATATATCATACTTATTCCGTTTTACAACGAATTGGAGCATAGGACTTCTTCTATCATAGCTTTTCATCTCACTCTATTTGTGGCCAGATCAGGGCCGGATTAGCCTATAGGCACACTAGGCACGTGCCTAGGGCCTACGAAAATCTTGGGAGGAAAAAATTTGTTGACAAAAATAATTTAGCTTTAAAAACAAGTGTATTTTGCACAAAATTATGAAGATACAAATAAAAATATAATATTTTTCGGTAATAAATTACTTTGCAGAATAGATCTAATATATTACTTTTTTGCGATTTTTGGATTAAACGAAATCTTGTATTATGCTGTCAAATTCCAAACTACGCAAAATGTCGTATTCAATAGACATAAGTGCGAGCAATGCCAAACGATCTTGATTCATTGTTGAACGCAAATAATTTTTTATCAATTTTAATCTGGAGAAAGATCTTTCTCCTTCTGCTTAACACCCAAGAATCGACAAATATATTCTTAATGCAATGTGAACGTTAGGAAAAGTATTCACATGTTTATCTTTAATTTGAGCCTTCAACATTTCTTGTGCAGATTTATGTTCATACAAATTTGAAAATAGTAAAAATTCATCTGCAAAGTTTTCCTCTAATTCAGATGAGTAAATTTTCACCAAATTTTGCACTTTTAGTTTAATCTCAGATTCTGACAAATTTTTGTGAAGTGTTTACGTAGTTATCGATCGAACTAATCATAATGGTATTATCAATATCAACTGCAAAATCGGCAGAATGTCGGTATTGCAGATAAAGTTCGATAAGCAAATTTGTAAATTAAAATCCATATTAATAAAAATGTTAAAAAAAAAATATGCAAGAAAATTTTAGCATATATTTTGAAAAGAGGGGAGGAGTGGGGAAAGGAGGGCCCCAAAACGGCTATGCCTAGGGCCTACGAAAGGTATAATCTGGCTCTGGACCAGATATTTTGCCTCTCTATGTTCAATTCTATTGCTTTTGATTCCTTTACAATTGTCCTGCACCAAGTATTTTTAGGTCATCCTCTTTTTGTATTGCCCTGAAGATCCAATCAAAAGCTTGTTGCAAATTTTATAGAACCACTCGATACGTAAGATTCTTCTTAAACAGTTGTTAATGAATACTTAAATTATTTACTTGTTATTTTTGTTACATTGTCATGTCTCAGACCCATATAGTAAAACAGATTTTAAAATTTTTGTTTTTCCAGAATTTATTGAGAATAGTATAACTCCTCCGGGTTTCGTTTAACCACTTAACAGCGTCTATTTTCTGGCAAATTGGGTAAAAAAATAAGCATATTTTTTAGAAGCAAATTTCTGTTAAAATCGATTATATAAACTCAAATCAAGAGTCAAAACTATTACGATTATTGATTTTATGAAATAATTTTAATTTTTATTTAAAACTTTATTTTCAAAGCGTATTAAAATTCATTTAGAAATCACATTTAATCAATTAAGTTTTACATTAAAAATGTTAAATGATTGTTTGTTTAAAGATTTTAATTTTTAAGGTGCTGGCCAAGCCTTCCAACTGCTGTGGAAGCAACTCTTTTATTAGTGCGAAGCAAAATTCAAGATCATTTATATGAGGCCAGCAAATTTTTTTGCAATGCACAAGAAGTTGAAATGATGTATTCAAATGCTGTTGTAAGGTAAGTTACTAATAATTTAATCTTTAAGCCTATAAAAAGGAGAATGTTTCTAATTGCCTAGATTTATTTGGTTGATATGGTAGGGAAAAAAAAGCATGAGTTTAAAAAGTGCACATTCTACAAAAAACAACACCGTGAGTTACTATTAAAAAAATGAAATTTGAATTATATTTTTTTTAAAAATCGCAATAAATAATTATTGCGATTAATTAATTAAACTTTGAATATAATTATTAAGATACTGTGTTTTTTCTTGTATTATAAGAAAAATTTAGTATCAATGCAGAATTGGTGAGTATGAAGTTTTAATTCAGTACCTTTTCTAAATTTTGTCTTTTTATTGCAGTTACTATTTTCATTATCTTAAATTAAAATAGAATTCATGATTTTAAAAACCTGAATATTTTTTCGCCATAGTGTTTTTGTTTTCTATTATAATTTTAAAATTTTTGTAGTAAGGCCGAGAAAGGATGCACTTATCTCAGACCCTAAATCTGGTTTAGGGGTGCTGCACAAAAGTTTATGTATGCCACTGATTGAACTAACTTTTTAAGTATTAAAGAAATCATATCACGAATGCTTTTCATATTTACAAAATTATGACTTTTTCTCTTTTTGACATTTTTCACTGTTTTTAAAAGTAGCTTTGAAGGAGCTGACTTAAGATTAGCTAACAGTCATGAATTACAGTCAATTCGCTATAACTCGAAGTACGATAACTCGAATATTACTATAACTCGATTTTTTTATGAAGTCCCGACTCTTTTATCTTCAATTTCATGTTAATTATTCTCGATTACTCGAATTTTACTCCCTTTAACTCGATTTTTTNTCTTAAATTAAAATAGAATTCATGATTATGAAAACCTGAATATTTTTTCGCCATAGTGTTTTTGTTTTCTATTATAATTTTAAAATTTTTGTGGTAAGGCTGAGAAAGGATGCACTTATCTCAGACCCTAAATCTTGTTAAGGGGTGCTGCACCAAAGTTTATGTATGCCACTGATTGAACTAACTTTTTAAGTATTTAAAAAATCATATCACGAATGCTTTTCATTTTTACAAAATTATGGCTTTTTCTCTTTTTGACATTTTTCACTGTTTTTAAAAGTAGCTTTGAAGGAACTGGCTTAAGATTAGCTAACAGTCATGAATTACTATTGCAAAATCACAGTACATATAAAAACAACATATTTTTTGCAAGAAAGCATTATTTCATATGATAAAAAGGTAGTTTGGGATTACCCGTCGAGCATTCAACGCATGCGAAAATGCTCGAATCTTTTATCGCCATCATAATGAAAAGCAGTTTCCAAACACACTGAATTAATCAAATAATAATAATAAAATAAAAAATTAAGTGTAAAAATAAGTTATAAAATGAAATCAAAGTGAAAAACTGTTTTTTTATAATTACACATTGAATTATTCTTAAATCTAACTATATATATTATTATAAATCATTTTGGTGGCCAAAAATCCTTGATAGCTTTTAAGGCGCAAACAAACACGTCATTATCCTTGTGCTGTCCCAGATTGGAATCATTTTGCAGCATAGTTAAAAAAAGAAAGAAAAGCCAGTTTATTTCATCATGCTAAAGAAAACTAATTCGCATAGTCAAGGATTACAGAGTAAATATGATAAAATTTGCTGCTTTTTGTACTGAAGCTACATTTTGGTGATTATATCGTGTTTGGCAAAAATTGTCAACGGGATAATCCCAAAGACAGACTGCTTTTGTGCAAGGTCTTAAGAGCATGTAGCATAAATTTCCTGCTAACTTGTCTTTTCAAAGTGGTCACCATTGCTTAAAAGTAAAAGTGCATTGTGTAAAACTGGTGTATGTTGAAAATATTTAGATATATTTTATTGACCAAACACTATATTTCTTTTTTAAAAGATTAAATTGCTGTTATTAATTTACAGGTTTGTAAATCTATTATTAGAGAATGATCAAAACTCAAGAAATAAAAAAAGATTATTTACTTTAGCAGAAGAGGTAAGAAGGTTTTATTCTAAATTTGTTTATATTGTATGTAGTACCAATGATTAGTTTTCTCTTCCTTAACTTAAGTTCTGAAAAAAATTATTTATTCCTTTCATAACTTAATGAGGGGTTGTTTTGTTAATTAATTATAAAAATATTATATATATTACTCTTTGATCGATGATTCTGGCCTTTGTTATAACGATGTAAACTGTTGATATTTCGTTTTAATGTTAAGTAAATTTGCTTTCTGCTGTTCATATCTTCACTCTCTATGTAAGCAAGCAGGCCATTAAATGTTGGCACCCTCCTTCTTGGAGTTCCTTAGTGTTCCTAAGGACCCTGGGCGCAAGTCTTCCGTCCCCAGGACGGATTTCCGTCTGTCGAAAATATCCGCGGACGGAAACAAGACTGACTCGAAGACGGAAATCGGAATTTTTTTTTCTTCTATCCTTAAAAATATTTTTTAGGTCTACGTTATTGGTCTACTTTCTTATGTCCTGTTGTTATTTTATCAAAAGACAGATGAATAAATATTTTTTGTACAGTATTTAAACTTGATGTATTATGGTAAAGCTTTCTTATTGCTTATGTCGAGGGGGTATTGTGTATGTTAGGTATTTCAGTCAAAAAATTTTCAGTCTTGGCCTTTTTTCCAACTTGCACCCATGCTAAGGACTATCAGTGGCTTAAAAATCACATTGGAATCAATTTCTCATTTGCCTGGATCACAATGTCAGAAGCAAAAATATGTATGATTCAGAATTTGCTCAATTGCTATGTAAAATTTATAAAACTTTTTAACTATTAGATATACTGACTTGAGTGTGATTTCATTTGATTTAACCTAAAAATTGCAATAGAAACATATTACTTGCCTAGTTAACTGGGAGTTAGTCTTGCTCCCTTTACCTCCTCTCCTCAAATTCCAGATAGAGCTAAGAGATTATTTTAGATTTTATATTTTTACATTACAACTGTTGTTGAACAGCCGCCCCAATTTTCGGGTTTACAAATACTTATGTTTAACTCCATAGCTTAGTAATTTTCAACTCAATCCAGATGACTAGGGAACTCTTAGATCAAGTCTTGGGAGAAATTTGTCTTCACGGAGGACTTTTTGATGAAACTAACCCGCATTTGCATTACATGGAGAGGAAAGCCTCCCACGGCTAGCCTGACAGCATGTTGGCTCTTAACTCATGATCCGTCTACCCCTGAGGACATTTTACGTCAGCATTGTGGTAGGTGCAAGTCAAATACGAACCTCATATCGACCAGCCATCGCTGGGATTCGAACCCGGTTCACCTCATTAGAAGGCGAACGCTCTATCCCCTAAGCCGTCATGGCTCTGTTTACTTTAAATGATCATATTGAGCATAAATCACATTTTTTAAAACATTTTATGGCTTTCTCATAATTATCTCTGTATTTAATTATGTTAGCACAGACCTCAAAGTTTTGAATTTATTATAAAAGAAAGTTCAATCAGTAACTACAGATCTGTGAATTTGTTTTGTTTCTACTTTGCTTGAGATTTCTTTTGCGACAAATTTTGTACTTGTCTAGTTTTAGCGAAGGCAGTTCATTACCTTGAAAGTTGTGTAAAATCCCAGTTTCCTGCTATTTTAATTTCATGCCAAATGTTTGTCACACATTTTTTAGGTACTACTTACTAGTATGTGTTCAAAGTAATCTATCAGATGGCCTTTGTGGTTCACTGTTGGCATGGATAGATTTTGACAGTGTAATTCAAAGAAAAGAGTTTTATTTGGAAAATGTTTGAATGCCCTTTAACCTTTGATGCAAACATCTACTGAAAGTATTTATGGCCTATGTGTGAAGTAGTCAAACTCAAAATAATGATCAGTGTCATGGTTTACTTATTTCATACTAAAATTATTCCCTCATGTAAATAGATGTTTTTCTCAAAACTCCAGTAGATTCATGATGATGAGTTATGATTTCCTAAAACCTTTAGAAAAATTAAATTTTCGCAATATTAAAAAGCCATACGTCTAATAGTTTTACATAAAAAAATATTTCCTGAAAATTTCAACAAAATTGAAAGTATCAAGTATCCAAACCTGCCTAACTCTTAAAAAAACTAGCCCTCAAGTGGAGGGGGAACCCACTTGATAATATATGGAAAAGAAATAATTTAAATCTTTTTTAATGGTTTATGTTTGTAATTCGTTTTATATAATAGCGCCTATTAATTCCCAAAATAGTTAGTGCCTCATTCCTAAATAAATTAAAACTAAAGCGCAGCAAGTGTAAAGAAAAATAAGTACAATGAATTTCTCAAGTAATTAAAATAATTAACATTAATTAAACAATTTTTTTCCTTTAATATTTTACGTAAAAGATTATAGTAGAACACAATTTTATATTTATGTAAAGAACTGTTAAAATATCATAAACTCTATAACTGCAATTAAGTTTATAAATCACTTACTAAACATACATAAAATACTCCAAATTAAATTTTAAATTTGCAATTATAAATTGCACACTTATTTTATTTTCAAAAGCCATTATTCATTGTCATGTTTTTTCTGTATATTCATGTTTAATGGAGTTTGCAGAGATTGTAACTTTCACTAAAATTGAAAGTAGTATTAAAAAAAATCATCTCTTTTCAGTCAATCTCAAATAGTCAAATCTCAATAGTCAATCTCAATCTTTTGTTTCATCTCTTTTTCAGAATTATTGATGCCGACACTTAGAATAGTCTTAATAATTCTTTGTATTAAAAATGAAAGGAATTCTCTCATAAGCAGGGTTCGTACAGACTCCTTATACTCCTTGGAAATAAAAAAGTCTCCAAGGAGTACTTGGAACTACTTAGATTTCCAAATTAGTCCTTAGAAACTCCTTAGATTATTGCGTTGCATAGATGAACTTACTAAGTCAGCTGATGAATTTGCTGTTCAAGCAGGGAAACAAAATGATATAACTTAGCTGTCAAAATCTAATAGGATAAGAAAAACTTTAAAAAGAAAAAAAAATTTGAATTGCAAGAGTTAGAGGAAAAAAGCAACAGCAAATAATTTTAATTTTCTATGTTACAAGCAAACTTAATTAATGATTTTCTGAGATTTTTTTTCTGTATTGTTCTTCGCACTAGAGCTGCACAATAAGCTATTGGCGACAGTCTGGGAAACATCCCTGAGGATGATCCGAAGACATGCCATCACAATTTTGATCCTCTGCAGAGGGGATGGCACCCCTGCTTCGGTAGCCCGACGACCTGCATGCAAAGTCGAGCACTTTACGGTAGAACAGTTTAACGGGGACCGATACCGCACACCCTCGGTTCCTAGGCAGACTAATCCAAGTGGTCACCCACCCGCACACTGACCGCAACCAGTGATGCTTGACTTCAGTGATGTGCTGGAAACCGTGTCTTAACGATCAGTCCACTGCGGGACTTTTTTTTTTGTATAAAATGCCTTTGATTTTCTTATGTATTCAAGTTTAAAAATAAGGGATTAGTAGGTTTTTATGTTAATCTTTAACATCTGTACTATGTACTTACATAGACTATTACTTTACTCTACAAGATTTATTAAAATGTTTGAAATTGGAACATGTATTTATGTTTGAAAGTGATAGTGATAACTTTATTTTTCTTGATGAAGTTTGACAAAGTCAAAATTTATTTCAAAATGGCTAGAAAAGAATATCTTATGCAAAATATACATTTTTGAAAGTTCTTTATAATAACTGCTTTTTAATTTAAAAAAAAAAACTGTCTAGTTATCTTTTACACAAAGTTTTTAAATTTTGTACTCCTTGAGTACTCCTTTGATTTCTTCTTCTGATCTCTGTATGAACCCTGCTCATAAGTTTATTTATTTATTCATAGAGAAATATCCCACCTTGGATTGTTGATATTCGTCATAATAGTACTCATGGATTTCACCCAACTCTCCCAATACTTCGCATGGCTTATGAAACTATTATGGCATATCTTGAAAAGATATTTTGGCTTCCCGAGAAATCTCGTGTATGTGCTATAATAAAATTTGTTGATGAAGCACCTATTGTGGAATTACTGGAAGATTACAAATTACTTCAATATCAGGTATTACTGACTAAATTTTTTCAAATTTTACCAAACAAACTGTATCAAATCAAGTTTATTATAACAAGCTTTTAAATTTATAACTATTCTTTTTTTTTATCATAAATAGTTATACTTGATAGTTACCTTTCCTAGTTTTAACCATTTGTACTTGTTAAATTTCTTTGATGTTGTTAAAGTAATTTTACTTGAGTACTTACTTTTACATGTGTTTCACTTATATTTCTTGATATCTATAATTATATGTGAATACCTATTTTAACTTCAAAATTGCATGTGAAAAGCAGATTTTGGAGTTGCTCTAATATTTCAGCTTTGTTTATTATTGTTTTTTAGGCTTAAACATGAAATGCTTTAATTAGGACTATCATAAATAAAGGGAGTTTCAGTTTCATAAAGTTGTTTTTGTATATATAAAATCATGTGTTAGCTGGTTAGTTACAGTATAAGGATAGATAAATTTATTCTAATAATGTTATAATGCTAAATATCTTGAGTAATAAAAATTAATTAATGCTTTTAATTGAACCTCTGTAAATTCATCTGCCATGTTTTTAAAAAATGAAAATCAAGTTTTGTTGAGTTTCTATGTAATATAAAATGTCTCATACCAGTCTTGTTATATAAATATATAGCTTAAATAGATTCTCTTATTAATTTTAATACTTCGAAATAGTTCTTTAACAAAGAGCCATAAAAAGGCCATTTTTCTGAGTTACTGGGTAACAATTGCTAGAAATATACGTATTAAGAAAATCCTGAAAATTTCCTGCAATCCGTATGGCGTAGATAATTAAATTTACCATTTTTGATGACATTGCAATCAATTCCTTTTAAGAATCCCTAAATAAAATGTGTGGCATCTGAATTTTTGTGGCTTTTTTATAATTTCACTACTATAATACTGTACGCCCTATCCTAACATTTCTGCTGTGAAAAATCCCAATATGAAGCATGTAAACCGTCCGCATGAAGTGTAAAATAAAATAAAAGTAAATCTGTTGTGTTGTTTCTAATCCCCAAGAGATCCTTCCCAATTAGACCAATTCCATAAGTCCAAAAATGTCCAGAAAGTCTAAAAAACAGATGAGGTTTTGAAAAAAACCTCGTAGATCTTAAAATCGATACAGTTAAGAATATGCTCGGGCGAGGCCGAAGCATTCCTACATTTAGTGCAAAGTCCAAAAGTCTTTTGCCCCTGAACATACGAGAGACACCTCAAGTGACCACTTGCAAAGCGAGATAAACAAGTCTGCTGGCTTCTAGGTCCCTCAAAAAACAAGGCACTTCCAGGTCATTTTCTGAAATACCAACTATGCGGAGGAGGAACTCTCCAGAGGTCCATAAACATTTTTTTGCACTCTGCAAAGACCTCATTGAAAGTGGAAAGTAACTCTGGCTGAGCACCCAATGAGAAGGGACTGTTTCTCTTCAGTCTATGGTTATTTTTTCAATTTTTGAGATAGTAAGAGGTTCTGTTCTGGTCACCAAAACTGATAAGCTTATTGTAGTATTTCTTGAGACTGGAGTTCCTTCTCATGTATAACAGCTGGAGGTCAGATTCAAATAGAACAATTTTATCTGGACAGCTACGTCTCAAATCTGTAATAATTTTTGCAGCACTAATTTGAACTCTTTCCAATCTATTCAGGTTTGTCTCTGAAGCACAGGAGTAAATAGGTGCCCCTTATTCCAATATGGGTCTAATAAGTGCAGTGTAAGTTAATTTCAAAGCTGTAGCAGCTGCTCCCCAGTCTTGCCCAGAAATATATTTTAGAATATTTAACCTCTTTCTACACCTCGATTCCAGCAGTTCGATGTGCTTATTGCCAAGAATCTGCTGGTCCATAATAAACCCCAAATATTTTGCATTCTTTTCATAAGGCAAATTTTGACCATTAAAACAAATAGTAGGTTTATAATTGTATATGTGCCTATTGGTAGTATAAAAACTAACAACAGATTTAGATGAGTTAAGAACCAGTTTGTGTTTTTGAGCAAACGTCACTCACATCTTTTAGAGTGAGGTTGATATTGCCTTCAATAGTCTTAATGTCAGCGCTAGAGTGCCAGAGGACGGCATCATCGGCAAAAATACCAACATTGCATCTCTTAGAGATCACCTTTTCAATGCCAGCAAAAAATAGGCAGAAGAGCAGAGGTCCCAAGACGGAACCCTGGGGGGACTCCTTGGCCTAGTCTAAAATTTCTTGAGAGGGTCATATTGAATTTAACTCTGATGGTTCTGGCCCTTAAATAATCAGAAATCCAGGGGAGAGCGTTACCTCTAATTCTAAAGTCATCAAAAAGCTTGATTAATAGCTTATTTCGCCACACTCTGTCAAAAACCTTTGTTAAATCCAAGAATGCAGCCACAGTATGATTAGTGGGCCGCATATTCTGAGCGTCTCTTACACTCTGGCAAAAATATAAGATTTGGTCAATCGTATTATAGCCTTTTCTAAAACGGTACTGCTCTAAAGTAAATCTAATATCATGTGTCTATTTGAAATAGCCTTATTTTCCTATAATTGATACCAATTGAGTTACATTTAATGATCTATATGTATTTATGTTATTAAAAATATAATTTCATAAATATTGCATGAATACTGCCTTTTTTAAAGATTAACAGAGATCATGTTCACCCTAAAATTCCTAAAAGTCTGATAAAATTTTACTGGTGTAACTTAATAATTAAAGTTATGGGGGAAAATCACAGATAAAGGGAAAAAGCTGCTTCTTTCTTTTTGAACATACAGTGGAACCCCGATTTTACGTTGTCCGTTTCATATGTTATGCCGCTTCTTACGTCATTTTCTGCTGATCCGTGAAAATTGCCTGTACCGATAATGTTAAAAAATCCCGGATTTTGCATTACCCCTTTTATGAAAATCCCGCTTGATGCGATTTTCTACAAACAGATAAAAAAAAAAAATTATTCTATTCAAAATGGTTTTACTCATTTTTTTTCCGTCCTAACATACCAAATGAGATTTTCAGTCGGTTTTGTTTAAGTTTGAAAGCTATAGCATATTTTTTTTTTCATTTTCGAAACTTCAGTGATCGTGTTCTTTTCTCGAAAGAAGATGTCGAAACGAAAATGCTTTTCTCTGGCCGAAAAGGCTGAATTCGTCGAAAAAAGCTAAAGAATTTCATGGCACTAAAGTTGATCTTACTAAATCTTTGGGTACTGCTTATTCAACTTTGCAAATGATTTTAAAGCAAGAAGTTTCAGTAGAACTAAACGCTGAAAAACTCGGAAAAATTGCCAAGAAGAGAAAAACCTTAAAAACATCTCCGTATGATGAGTTAGAAAAAAATTTAATGAACTGGTTCAAGGAAGACAGAGCAGCAAAGATTCCTATAAATGGATCCATCCTGAGAGAAAGGCGCTTGAAATTGCTGAAAGGCTTAAACTCCAAGGCTTCAGTGCATCAAATGGCTGGATCGATCGATTAAAAAAAGAGGAACAATTGATGCTTCAAATCTATCAGTTGAGAATCCGATAGTGTGGATATGACAACAGTGGAAAGAAGAACCTCTGCCAAATTTATTAAAGGGCTATAATCCAAGTGATATATTTAACGAACGGGATTGTTTTTCAACCTATTGCCAAAGAAGACATTGACAATTAAAGGTGAAAATTGCCATGGAGGAAAGCTTTCAAAAATGCGCTTGACTGTTTTGCTCTGTGCAAATGCCGATGAAAGCCAAAAGTTAACGTCTCTTGCGATCAGTAGAGCAGAGAAACCACGGTGTTTCAAAAATATCAAAAGTTTTCCTACCGATTACGATTCAAACAAAAAAGCATGGATGACGCAAGCATTATTTAAAATTTTTCTTCGGAAACTGGATAAGAAAATGAGTTTTCAAAAGCGCAACATAATTTTATTCCTAGACCAATGCAGCACTGCTCATTTAAACGTTAAATTGAAAAACGTGCGAATAGAGTTTTTTCCAGTTAACTGTACGAGCAAACTTCAACCACTGAATTTAGGAACTATACGATCATTTAAAGAGAGTTACCGACTGGTTAGAAAATCTCTAATGTTTCTTGATTCTGGTGACTTTCAGGATGCTTCTAAGGAAAAAATTTATGTTCTTGAGGCTCTTTATTTGATATCTTCAGCTTGGGACAGTGTTGACCAAAAATGCATTATCAATGGATTCAATAAAGCAGGATTTTCAATATCGGAGGAGGAGAGCACTGTTGTTTTGGAAGAAGAAGAAGGTAGCGTGTCTGAAATTAAGGATCTTCCGGAAGTCGATGATGCATGCATCGACTGTGACACAGACGTCATTACTTCAGAAATCCCTTCCATTAGTGATTTAATGCCTGATTCTGACGATAGAGTTGATGACGATGAAGATGAAATAACAGAAGACGTGCCAACAGCTGATCAAGCTATACAAAGTATAAAAACTCTAAAACAATTTTTACTTGCAAATGTAAATCAAGAAGCAAAGTTGCGAAAAATTGTTAGTATTGAACGAGCTGTATACGAAATTGTAGCTAGAAACGAAAAGCAAGTAAAGATTACTCATTTTTTCCATTAATTTAACTGGTGGGTGTCAATTTTTAAAAATATGCATAGATTTTTTTTAACCCCGATTTTACGTTATTCCGTTTCGAGCGTTTTTTATCACTAGTCCGACAGAAAACATGAAATCGGGGTTTCACTGTAATTTGTTCACGTCATCGTGTGCAAGGAGAGGAGGGTGAAGAGAGACGTGGGGCAGTGTGCTGACATTCAGGCGAGTGTTTGTTGTTTGTTTCATTATATGGTTTTTTTTCCCTTCTAAGACGTCACGTGCCAGTCCCCACCTGTCTGTCTTTGTCCATCGTGGTTTATTTGTTATTTATGAATTGATACTGTGGGAAAAGAAGGAACAAAATTTCAGACAGATTGGTTTAAAATAGAACTCGATATTAATTTTCTAAAAGAATGGTTGTAGTCTGTGACTGGAGATGTTTATTCCGCGAAGTGCAGTTTATG